AATAGGATATAAATTGTTTATTTATAAATAAGGAATTGATTGATTCATTGGAAATACCAACAGTTTACACATTGAGGCAGATAGTTTTGAACATGGATTTTAAAAGAATATTTACATTATTATTTTCTTTGAGTTTTATAGTGTGACGCCTCTTAGTTTTATGTAAAAAAAATATTTATTATTTATCTATTCGACACAAAAATAACTCATTTTAATGTATATTTAATCTCAATAATTGAATATACTGACGATTAGTTTGACACAATTGTCACTTATTTAACATTTTAAAAAGAATTGTATTGGGTGACCAAAATATGAACTACCTAGAACAGATATGAAATATATCCGTTTAAATGAATGCAATAGCATACTTTTTCGTTTTGTATTCTGTACGTAGATAAGCTAATATCCATGTGGACTAAAAAAAATTATTGTTTGATCTAAGAACAAACCCTGGATATTTAGAACCAGTGACTTTTATAAATTAGCGACAGCAAATTTAATAGTATTATTTTATTTATTATCGTATATTTTTTAATTAGCTTCAATTTTTTTATTTAGATAACTTTTGTACGGCCCGATTAAACTCTGGTGCATATAAGAAATATATACAAATTCCTATCATCTGTAAAAAAAGATGCCTTTAAAAGTCTTCTAAATTTATATATCGTTAATGAATTAAAAACTCAACGAATTTTGCAGAAAACATATGTGTACTACTGCTCAATATATCTATATTAAAATACAAAAATTTTTACGGGGTTAAAAAAACATATATTTTTAAATAATTTAATTTATCCCGTTCCTGGGGTACGCCAATGCAATTTATTTATACTCCGCTGCGACTAACAAACGTGTACGGCCTTCAGTCCTGCAGTATATCCCCTCCCTTACCTCACACATCACGTCTTTCCTCTCCTGATCACCAAATCGACTAATTTGATGTTGGCATCATAGATATTCTATTTTATGAATGAGTAGTTATATCTCCCTTGTTATCTCTGCTCCCATTGCTAACCTAATTAATTTGTGCATGAAATCTGGAGTTTTTCCAGATACATTTAAAGTATCACGAGTTACCCCTGTTTTCAAAAAAGGGGACATGAATCTACCATCTCAATTACAGTGGCGGTTTGCCCGTAAGGGCACTTGGGCACGTGCCCTAGTATAATAAACAAACAAAAAATAACTTACATATTTTATATTTTCATCAATGCCTATTATTATTTTATCTAATATTCAGCGCAAACCGCGTTGGCACGACACTGGACGACCGGGCGTTGAGTGACGTTCCGAGAATTCCGAAATTAAGCACAGGGCACAGTAAATGTGTGCCTCTGTTGTTTTCTCTCTCATTATGATGCGAAAAACAAGGACAACGACAATATAGCTTAGCAAGAGATGAACGCATGCGAAGGATTATACGTCACAAGCGGGGCGCTGGCTTCATCGTGACATGCTGTACCCATTTCACAGATTACCTAGACCAGATACGAATGTACGCAGCGGCATCTTTACCGGCTCCCTCACAAAGGCGATGCCATTTTCGGCTTAAAGTGCGCGTTTGTTGGACCATGATAATAATTTATTTATTGTGATTACGAAAAAACGTTAGTTGGACCATTGGAACTTTTTTTATATAAAGCAGTCAAAAATATGATGAAAAATAATTAATAATATTTATAAATAGGACAAAATTTTAATTTTTCTTTTGGTTTTGTCTGACTTTTTCGAGGATTTCAAATCTCTGTTTGCATATTTAAGAGTATAAAAAATTCTGAGTCTTATAAATAATTTAATGGTGTACATTTTCACAAATTGTTGGCAAGGATGACCAAATTCTATTTTGCTCATCTCAAAAAGGTATGCGTTGGAAATTCCAAGCTTAGTTGACAAACTATCAAATAGAGATATAAATATTTTTTCTAATTTGAAAATATAAAAGAGAAAATTTTCGCTGGGAGATTTTAAATTGCCAAACACCTTTTCTTCGGAGCCGTATGCTTTAAAATGCGTTAACAAGTTAGAATTGTTAAGTAAATTGCATTCTTCTGAGAAATTTACGCAAATTTCGCAAGAGCGGATATGTAATGATTTTTTGATTAAATAGCCACATACATAGTTAAATGTATTTGAGTGGTCACATTTAGCTCCCTGTAGTCACATTCAGAAATCGTTATTGCCCCAACTGATTGTTTTGAAATAAATTTAATTTTCATTAAGCGGAGAACTTGTTTTCCTAAGGGATAAAGGAATCCCGGGATTCCTTTCCAGTGTGTGCCCCACTGCCTCTAGTGCCCGCGAGCCGCCACTGCTCAATTATACCAATAGTAAGCAAAATTTTTGAAATAGTGTTAAAACAAAGAATTATGAATTTTTTTTGAAAGCAACAAGTTGCTTAGCCAAAATCAATTCGGTTACAGGGCAAACAAATCAACAATTAACGCAAAATATGTGATCTCTATGAAGCTGTTACGGATGGTTTTGAGGATCGTTCACATAGTACTGCCAGATGTTATGGTCTTACGAGAGTGTTCGATACAGTTCAACATGACATTTTATTAAAATTAGAGAGATATGGAGTTAGAGGGACACCATTACAGCTTATTACCTCTTATTTGCAAAAAAGAACTCAATATGTTCAAATTGAAGGACAAACTTCGGGCAAGAATTCAGTACTGTTTGGAGTTCCACAGGGTTCTGTTCCCGGACCCTTACTTTTTATCATTTACTTTAACGATTTGTCAATTAATCTAAGTAATATCATACAGGTGTATTATGCTAATGATTCAACATATATTGCTACAGATAAAAATAAATCTGATACAATAGAAAGGCTAAATAAAGCAAAAGTTATGTCAAATAATTGGTTTGGTAGCAATGGTTTTACATTAAACGAAGCAAAAACTCAGCAAATGTCATTTTCTATCATTGCTAAAAGTGAGGAACAGGTTAAACTTTTAGGAATATATTTAGACCCGAAACTAGATTTTAAATATCACATTCAAAGTTTACTAAGTCGTTTAGCAAAAGCTACTTATGCAATTAGACAGCTAAAATTTCAATTAGACATTGTACATTTAAAAATGGTCTACTTTTCATTATTTCATAGCATTATGACGTATGGGGTTATACTTTGGGGAAATACAATCAACCAACTGAGGGTATTTATTGCACAAAAAAAATAGTATGTATCATGACATCGAGTAGCTACAATAGTCACTGCCAACCTATTTTTAAACAGTTGGGTATTTTACCACCACCATGTTGTTTTATTTTAGAGTGTCTTTTATACATGAAAATCAAATTGGTAATAATAATAAGACAGAGCTCTAAACATTCTTATTGCACCAGAGGAAATTATGATATATCTTTACCTAATTACAGATTAACCAAACTTCATGATTCTTATAGATATATCAGCATTAAACTGTACAATTCCCTACCTCAAGCTTATAAAAACTCATCTTTTAATTTATTTAAAATAAGAATTCGCAAATTTTTGTAGTCGCTGCTTTTATTCCATTGACGAATTCTTATCACATGTGTCCATGTGCATGTGAGTAATGGGTAAACCTTTTTGGTGAATATACCTTTTTAATTTTTATCTTTTAAGTATGTTTTAATATGTTATGTGTATTGGTATCTATATATTTTTTTTTGTCTATATTTTTCTAAATTGTAACTGTATTTTCTGTATCTATACCTATATATCTTTTTTTTATAATTTTAACATGGACACATGTAAAATATTTATTTTTATTTTACATTAATAAATATCTATCTATCTATCATGTCATCCGTTTAAAAACAATCGACATTTTTATCAAATTTTATAATTTCTTTAACATTCAACACTACGCTCTTGCCCCTGTTATCATAGTCTTTTAATGTTTGTTCATATGATGGACAGAATACTCACTGTTATGGTTTATGGTCGACGTCAAGATCCGTGTACCTTAGCATCGGTAAGGGGGGAAGAAAGATTGTGACTCGCAATCACAAAAACAACTAAGCTAAGTCGATGTAAGTTAGATCAGATTAGTCGTAAAAAGAAAACTACTAATATGCTAACATGTTGGTATGGATGAATAAAGTAAATTCATAAAGTATTTAATGCTACATTTGAAAAAAAAATATAAATTGATTGAGCCATATTTAAAACCACTGTATAAAATGAACCAGTTCTATCATCGCAGTTTGGTTCTTATAAGTCTTTATTTTAAATAACTTTAATATCATTTGCCTACATAATTTATGATTACGACGAAAATATTTTCATCCTTTCAGCATGGGGACAATGCAGCTTCATTTGCTTATTGTACCACCATTTGGATACCCTACTTCTTCCGATTCATTCATTCCACTCTCTAGATGGGCTCCCAAAAACTTACTTGTCTTGGGTCACCCATCCATCTTATCTAGAATGTAATGCCTTAAATGGATTTCGATTAAAAAAAATAAAATAGTACAAAAAAATTATAAATGATATGAATATTACCCAAAATACGAAAAACATTAGCAATTTAGTATTTGTAAAATTATCAAATACAAGTAATAATAATGACGAAAATTTTCAAGGGCAGTCTCAAAAAGTAACAGAGATAGATCTAGAAGAAACAATTCCGCAAACAGCTTTAACTTAACGTTTCTATTGCTAATTATTCAGTGAGTTAGGAATAAAGTTAAAGAGCTACTTTTAATAATAGAACTAAACAACTACCCCAAAATTTTATTGTTAACTGAACACTGGTTGGAAGAATATGAATCATTCTCTCACTCCTCGTTTTACTAGTCTTTTTAAATGTACCAATATTCAATTCGGAGAACCCTAGGTACTGATTTAACCAAGTAAGTTTTAATTTTGATACTATATAAAAATTAAAAAATTCTTTCATTCACGGTTTCTTATTTTTGCTTATAAAGGGGGTCTAAAAGCATTTGCTTACATAATACTTGAATGCCCCAAAATTGATAGACTAATTACCAATTATACATACTTTTGATAAGAATCTCTGTAACATTTCCTGAGTATATCCTCCATTTGTAGAATCGTTTTTATCAGCTGTCCATTTTATTTTTATTCTGTGTTTTGATCCGTCCCAATACTCTGTATTCTTGTTCTGCTCTTTTTTCAACTCCCTTTTCACTATTTCAATTTCTTCCTCTACTTGTTTTGATCCTTCTTTTCTCAACCTTTCAATTTCTTCCTAAAAATATTAGACATTATTGTAAAATACAAATATTTTGATTTGGTTTTACTGATATAACGCCATATATTTTTAGATACAGAGGAATGTCAAAGGAGGCACCAGAGCACCCAGGCAATTTTGAGTTGAAACCTATGCCATATTTTTAGACTATTTTTATACCCTATTCAAAAATCAAGATGTTAGCTTCGAACGAATCTAGCAGAACACTTCGGTTTTTTAAACTTTTTTTCTAAAAACAACCACACCAAATTTTTAGGCTCTTGAAATATTGTTACGCAGCACCCAGCAGCGTGCTGCGGTCGTCATAAGTAAAGGTACGAGTAAAAGAAAAAGGGGGAATATTCGAGAAATGTCATTCCACGTCAAGAAAAATCTGGACAGTTCGAGAAGGGTCAACATATATAAGTCGATGATCCTGACGTCAGTTTTATGATAGACTTTATGTGTTAATGTTATCAGTTATATAGTTATTGTAAAAGTTGAGTTGAAATAATTGAGATACCAAAAACCTGCGTAACATTGGTGGCAGCGGTGGAATATAAAATAAAAATTCTATTCATGGTAAATACTAGATCCACTGCGCACGAAACAGATATGGATACTTCAGGCCCACCAGCATGGTTTTTGAAGATGGAAGAGGAGAGAGTAAGGCGAGAAGAGGAAAAGGCGTAAGAAGAGGAGGAAAAGGAAAGGCGTAGGAAGAAAGAAGAAGAAGAGAAGAGGGAAAGGCGAGACGAGGAGAATTAGGAGAGGCATAGAAAAGCGGAGGTGGAGATTATAAATGGCTTGGTACAAATTCAAGAAAACTTCAGGCAAGCAGTAGGTCAACTGAACAATCGAATAAATCTCTTAGCACAACAACAAGAGAATTTAAAAACTAATTTAAAACAACAATAAACGGCTAGAACAGAGTTAGAAAGGCAAATTAGAACTAAACTAGTTGAATTAGAAAAAAGAATTCGTAGCCTAGCTTTGGCAAGCACAGAGAAACTGCAAACACTACCTCATCCTCACCTATAACTGAACTAAGCCATATCCAAAACTCAGTTTCACAAAGCCATACTAGCAAGACCATTAAGCCACCCACGTTTGACGGTCAGACAACATGGGAAATGCATCGACTCCAATTTGAAGCTGCAGCTAGAGCCAATAGCTGGACCGAGAAAGAGAGGCAGCTTCATTGATAGTGTCGCTGCGAGGACAGGCAGCACACCATTTTACAGTAACTTCCCTAAGAAGAACCTAGCTATCCATCTCATGTCCAAGCTTTGGAGACAAGATATGACCAGCAGCATTTGAAATAGGTATTTCAAAGTCAGCTAAAGGTTCGTAGTCAGAAATATAATGAGAGTCTACAGGAATTCTTGGCCGACATAAGAAGATTGATTCATCTGGCCTATCCACAGGCGCCCAAAGATTTCCAAGAACGAATCGGATTACAGGCATTCATTGATGGACTACAAGATGTGGAAATGCAGCAAATCCTTCGTCTACAACATCACAAGAAGCTGAGGGAGAAACTGATTGCAGCCCAGGAATATGAAGCGGTAAAACTCCTATCCAGATCTTCTCGTGCAAGGGTGAGATAAACTAAACCCTTAGATTAAAGAGACCGAAGATGTAACATTGCACACTGCGCATGTTGTCTATTTTAAGCCAAAGTAACCCACCAATTGAAAATCATTGTTGCACGACGCCACCCGAATTGCTCCGATTTCCATTCAGCGATCACACCTCCACCTGAGTTTAATCACCATTGACAGCTGTTTTTTGATTTATTTGTTGGTATTTTAGCAATTTAAAGTGTTCTAGTTATTCAATTTCAAGTTCAAAATGTCACGATGTATCTTGAAAAATTGTATGTACTTATAATACAAGTACTACTGTTATGAATATATTCGTTTTCAGCGGTAAATATTTATTAACGTTTTGACATAAAGCGCCATGATTCTCTGGGCTGAATACTTCAGATCCGCATTAAGGGGTTTCAATAAATATTAAGCATCACAAACTCAGATTTCATATTACTTGCATAAATTTACAAAAGGGTAAAATTTTGAACATTTAATTTAAATAAATAGTAAATAGGCATTATTGCTAACGAAATTTTGTATTTAAAAAGTAGTTTTATAAGAATGTTTTCTAAAGGTAGTTTTTAGCCCTTTTTGGTAGATAAATAAGAGGTAAAGAATCATAGTTGCTAGCTAAATTTTATTTTTATAAGAATATTAGATGAAATACAGGATGACCTACTTAAAATTTCAAGGTTCATCTTATTTGCGGTCAAATCGAAAGTGACATTGAATTTTCAGTCTTAAAACAAAGTAATCTAGTATAAGCAAAAAAAAAATACTAAAGTTACAGGAGTTAGGTCCGATTCCACCGTTGTGTTAAACGGAGATTAAAATGACAGTGTTAATGTAAAAATGTCATTTTAAACTTCGTTTAACACAACGGTGGAATCGACCCTTAGTCACGTTAATAAAATGTTACATTACAAACCCCTAAACAACTCGAACATAATTTTCGTTTACTAAAAAAAATCCAAAATTTAGCAATATTTATTTATTATACAAGCGAATGCGATTTCAAAGATAACTGGATCAAAAAATCCGAATCTCTAAATTTTGGAGCTGAATGCTCAGATAAAAGCAAGCGACCGATAGGGGTTACAAAAATAATCGATTTATCGATAATTCTGATATTTTTTAATGAAAATCGATTTATCCGCTGTTTTTAATAAATTATTTTCGTTTTTTTTTTTAAGAATGTATTAATCGATTTTAAAGGAAATACAAAAAAAGTAGATTTATTCAAAATAATCGATTTATCGTTTAATCGGTTTTTTAATTATTTGATTATTTTCGATTTTTCAAAGATATTATATGAAAATAATCGATTGAATATAATCGGTTATTTTACATAATCGATATTTTGGTTATTTTTTTAAAATTATCGATTTATTGGATAATCAGCTTTTTAATAATCAATTATTTTCGATATTTCAAAGATAATCGAATTATCGATTTTAAAGGAAATACAATAAAAATAGATTATTGATAATAATCGATTGATCGAAAATAATCGATTATTTAAAATAATCGATCATTGTTTTTTTTTTGAAAATCGATTTGTCAGTTAATCGACTTTTAAATTAATCGAATATTTTTGAAATACAATAAAATAGATTATTGGTAATAATCGATATATCATAGAATCGGCTTCTTAATTAATTGATTATTTTCGATTAGGCGATTATTTTGGAATTATCGATTATTTTCGGTATTTCAAAGATAATCGAATTAACGATTTTAAAGGAAATACAATAAAAATAGATTATTGATAATAATCGATTGATCGAAAATAATTAATTATTTAAAATAATCGATCATTCTGTTTTTTTTTTAATCGATTTATCAGTTAATCGACTTTTTAATTAATTGATTATTTTTGATTAATCGATTATTTTCGATTTTTCAAAGATTATCGAATAATCTGTTTCCATGGACGAAAAAAATGGTTTATTTGAAAATAATCGATTATTTAAAACAAACGATAATTCTATTTATATTATATTTTGTAAACACTGATTTATCGGTTAATTGGCTTTTTAATTAATCGATTATTTTTGATTTTTCAAAGATAATCAAGTAGTCGATATTAAAGGAAATGACAAAAAATATATCGTTTGAAAATAATCTATTGATCGAAAATAATCGATTATTTTCAATTATCGATAATTTATTTCAATAATCACTCATCCCCTAGCGACCAAATGACTTTTAATAGATTTAAATTTTAAAATGTTATCTGGTTTCAGACATATGCATTTCTAGAGTTTTATGTGACTCATCCTTTATAATAATTAATATTCTTAAAGAAAGAAGCCTTAATATACTTTTTCTGAGGTTACAATACAAAACAGCATTTTCTCATTTTGACTAATTTTTAATAATATGTAATAGCCGTAGAAAAAATATAATGTTCAACTCATAAGGGTAGATTTGCAGTATTAGCCTGCGCACATGCTATTTTTATAATACTCGTAGACAATGAGTAACATTTTTTGCTCTATTAGCAATATATTCTATTTCAACATTTTACTGTAATCTCTTGCAGAAAAGTCCGTAGTAAATAAACGCTAACGAAATATTCTATAAAAGGTCTTCTCTTTACATAAAATGTCGTGGCATCTGTTTGATATTAAAAAATCACGATAATTTGATTTCATAATACAAAATTCGATTAAACACCTTTTAAATAAACCTAATAGTTCATTAAGATGCTAATAAACAAAGTCCGGTCCCTCTCACAGAGTTCGGGTCGCCGCCCAGTTCCCCCACTCCGTTAACCCTTCTTTAGCAATTGGCAACATTTGCGCAGGTTTAAAACCGGTGTATGTTATATCTCTGGTCTCTTTTATCTAAGACTAAACCCCAGGAAAGTGAGGAGGCCAAAACGAATACTATTCTCTAACTTCGGGGCGAATAACTAGAGAGTCACGCTGCGGTCGTCATAAGTAAAGGTACGAGTAAACGAAGAAAGGGGAATATTCGAGAAATGTCATTCCACGTCAAGAAAAATCTGGACAGTTCGAGGAGGGTCAAGCAAGCTATATAAGTCGATGATCCTGACATCAGTTTTCAGTTTTATGATAGACGTTATATGTTAATGTTATCAGTTGTATAGTTATTGTAAAAGTTGAGTTGAAAAAAATTGAAATACCAAAAACCTGCGTAACAATATTATAAAACTTTTCAAAAAAATTGTTTTTTAAAAAATACAGTGCTTTGCTAATTTTCGAACGAATCCAGCAGAGCACCTCTGTTTTTAAAGCTATTTTCTGATAACAACCACACCAAATGTTTAGGCTATTTTTAGGCTCTTGAAATATAAAACTTTTCGAAAAAAAAATGGTATTTTTTAAAAAATACATGGCAAAAGGTTGAACGAATTAAGCAGTCTCGGTTTTTAAAGCTTTTTTCTGAAAACACACCAAATTTTTAGACTATTTTTAGGCTCTTGAAATATTATAAACCTTTTCGAAAAAAATTAGTATTTTTTTTTTAAATACGGGGTGCTTTGCTGGCTTCGAACAAATCCAGCAGAGAACCTCAGTTTTTAAAGCTTTTTTTTTTCTAATAACAACCACACCACATTTTTAGGCTATTTTTAGGCGTTTGAAATATAAAACTTTTCGACAAAAAATTAGTATTTTTTAAAAAGTACAGGGAGCTTTTCTAGTTTCGAACGAATCCAGCAGAGCACCTCAGGTTTTTACAACTTTTTTTTCTAAAAACAACCACACCACATATTTAGGCTATTTTTAGGCTCTTGAAATATAAACTTTACTTAAAAAATGCTATTTTTAAATAATACATGCTTTTGTTGGAACAAAGTCAGCCTCGGTTTAACTATTTTTTTCCTGAAAATTATATATTTCGAAAGCATAAAAATAACCTAAATACGTGAAGTAGTTATTACGAGGCCACAAAGTAAAATACGCTTGGATCATATATTCTTAAAAAACAATATTAAGACTGAAAATCTATGGGTGAACTCTTATGTAATCAGCTATGATATGACTGATCATGATCCTATTATGATAAATATCTCACAATCTGCCAAAAACTACACAAGTTCCTACAATACATATAAAACTATAACTAAAATCGATACTGATAAATTAAAACAAAAAATCGAAACTGTAAACTGGGAAAGCGTTTGCAATGAAAATAATCCAGAAATTGCTACACAACTTTTTTATGACACGTATCTTAATATCATTGAAACGTGTCAAACCACTCAAAATATTAAAATTAAAATCCATAAAAAAATAAAGCCATGGATAACAAATGGTTTAATTAATTCTATTAAAACTAGGGACACACTTAAAAAAGATCTACAAAAAACTATACTATTAACAAACAAACTCACTATAAAACATTTAGAAATAATTTAAACAAACTAATATCAAAAACTAAAAATGATTATTATAACAATAAAATAAACCAAAACAAAAATGATCTGAAAAACTTATCAATTGATCTCTGAAGCAACTAATGAATATCATAAAAAAAATAATACCACTAATTTACAGATTGTTAACCAACATAATGAGGAATTACTGCAATAACTACTTTTCGACCATTGGCACTAATATGTTCACAAATATCCCTGAATGTAATGTGGATTTTCCTGTAAGTGTCGATGAAAAATCAATGTTTCTGAAACCCATATGCGAAAACGATATTATAAAACACATAAATAGTTTAAAAAACAATAGTTCCCCGTAGACTGGGCCAAAAAAATAAAGCAATTTTTTTTTCTTAGCGGAACTATGAAAATATTGTTCATGACGACAAAAAAAAATTCCTGAAAGTTTGAGCCCTTAATAATAATATTAAGAGGTGCATCATTGCAGTTATTGATTTTTCAACAGTTGTCGCGTTTTTGCATACATTTCGGACTTGGTCTATTTTAAAAAAAATTTTCATCTCTTATCCTTGTAGGAAATTAAATTCCCCACAAAAAAGCTCTCTTAGTAAATTTTCGTAAGACGAGTCTATTCTTTGTAATCGAGCCTTAAACAATGGTATATATTTTCAATTTTTTACTTTGCATTTGGGATTTCCAAAATGAACTTAAATATTAAGATTACAAAGAATTTGCTTAAAAAAAAACTTTAAAATGCTGATGTTCTCTGTTGAGAGAAAAATTTTATATTTTAGGTGTCTAAAAACAGACTAAAAATTAATATAGTGTGGTTTGTTTTTTGGAGAAAAAAAAAACTTAAAATATCGAGGTGCTCTGTTCTCTTCCTTCTAAAGTTGGCAAAGCCCGCCGTATTTTTTACATATGGCAAATTGTTTTGGAATGTTTTATAATATTTCAAGAGCCTAAAAATGTGGTGTGGTTGTTTTAAAAGGCTTTAAAAAACCAAGTTGCTCTGCTGGCTTCTTTCGAAACTAGCAAAGCACACTGTATTTTTTAAAATATACTCATTCTTTTTGAAAATTTTTATATTTCAAGAGCCTAAAAATTGCCTTAAAATGTGGCATAAGTAGTGTGTTTTTGCCTCTTTAAAAAAATTTATAAGGGCATCGTTTATTTCTTTTTTATATATTTGTAATAGGTAAGAATTACTTGCTGGAAGGAGTAAAACTTGTCTACATAAGATTTTGATGAAATTGTTTGTGGTTTGTATGTGATTTCCGTTAAAAAATATATGATTCAGATTGCAAACAGATTCAAAAATAATTATTTCGCAGACCAATTTTTGCTAGATGAGAAGGGAAGTTGTTTCTTGGAACTGAGTATTCTTGAATAATATGTGGAATGTATTTAGGTAATTTTTCATGTATTATTGTATTGATTTGTGTACAAATATTTTCCAGCTATTTTCCCAGGCATAAGTAGTTGTTTCCAGAAAAAAAATAAACTGATGTGCTCTGCTGACTTTGTTCCAACAAAGCGCCCTGTATTATTTAAAAATAATTTTTTTAGAAAAAGTTTTATAATATTTCAAGAGCCTAAAAATAACTTAAAAATGTGGTGTTTGTTTTTAGAAAAAAGGCTTTAAAAAAACATGGTGCTCTGCTGGCTTCTTTTAAAGCTAGGAAAACATCCTGTATTTTTAAAAAAATAACATTTTTATAATATTTTAGGAGCCTAAAAATAGCTAATAAATATAGAGTCGTGTTTGAAAAAAAAAAATTAAAAAACTGAGGTGCTTTGCTGACTTTGTTCGAAGCTAGCAGAGCATCTCAAGTTTTGCAAAAAAAAGAGGAACCTAACTTTTTTGAGTAGGGTATAAAAATAGCCTTAAAATATGGCATAGTTTCAACTCAAAATTGCCTAGGTGCTCTGCATTCCTTCTTTGACATTAAGCCGGAGATACATATGCTTGTAGCTTGTACACTTGCAAGCTACATGCATGTTTACATGTTAACTAGCATTCAAGTAGCTTGTATTTGTATACAAGTAAATTGAACCAGATTTGATTTTTTGACATGCAATGTGCAAATTGAGTGGTGGGGGAATACAAAATGCATGCCAAATTGAATATGTGAACCATAGACGACAGGTACTAGCATGATCGTCATCACAAGTAGTTTTTCTTTTTGTTACCTCATCATCATCAACAAAATAAAAAAATTGAGAAGTACTTAGAAGAACCTTTTTCATGTGATTTGCCATTTGTAAAGATTCAAAAACAAAATGCACTTAAAATGCTGGACAGGTTAGCCTGCAAACATGGTAATGATCTATTCAAAATCTCCACATTTCTGAATGCTTGCAACTGGCAAATGTATCCTCCGTCTTCAAGGTACTGGCACATATAAGCTACTGAAGCTACAGACATGCAATTTTACTTGAAAATGTATCCTCAGTCCAATTTGATGCATGTGTATCTCCGGCTTTATAGAAGATGAAAATCACTTACTTTTAAAATCTGATCTGCTGTTTTGTGTCCAGCTGATCCTTGAGCTTGTTTCTCTCTAAATTCTAAATCTTCTTTAAGTTTTCTACGTTTGCTATCTAATTCTTTGTGTCTCAAAGCAGCTTCTTTTTTCGCTTTTAACACTCTATCATAAGCTGCTTTAGCTGATGTATCTGTTAATATTTCTAAAATTTTTGATAATTCATGAAACTTTTTGGCAGCATTTGGATCGTCTGGATTTTTATCTGGATGGCATTGTAAGGCTTGCTTCCTGTAAGCTTTTTTTATCTAAAAATTATAATCAACTTAAAATTGGAGAGATACAGAACAAATTATTTTCTTACCTCTGTAGCTGAGCTGTTTATGTCTATATTTAGGATTTCATACAGATCCATATCCTCAATTTTTAAATCGGCCATTCTGACTTCTGTTTATTTCAATTAATTTCTCGGTGTAGTTTTATTTTTATTTTCGTTTTATAAACCAAAAATCAACACAAAACATAACCTTACAAATATAAAAATCTTAGAGCATGTAAGACTAGAGAGATATCATTCAATGTATTTTGTTATGTATAAGCGGGGTCATCGCTTTAAACGTGAGGGGAGAGGGGTAGGTACTCCATTCTCAATGGCGTACGGTTTGAAAGGGTTCGTATTTATCATGCAGTGTATTACAATAACTAATAATTTAGATAATTGATTCACATGATTAAGGGCCGTTTTTTCACCTCTAATCCATTTTATAGTGCACAAAAAAACTAATAAATTAAGCATTATATCGCAAAGGAAAAAAATATTTTCTATAAAATGCAACCAGTTGCGGTGATGCTCAAATGAAGATCATTTTAAAAACATGTTTTCTTATTAATTTTCCAATTTCCCATTTTAATTTACGTTTATGGAATATAGAATACTTACTTGAGCAACGTCAACCGGGATCCTTTTAAGAATTTTTAACTAACTCGCCAATCATAAAGCGTCGTGTTCCTAACACCGAAGGGGTCACCTCCCTCAGTACATAACAAACCCATTTATTTGAGTAAAACCTCTGGTCTTATATGCTCTGAGATAAAAATTATATGGCCTGTTCACATCACAGACACGGACCCAACCCAATATTTTATGCAACAGTTCAGTATTAATTTTTAGCTACCCTACCATGAAAATTCGAAAATCCATCACCAATTTTCTTTTTCAATTATTTTTTTTGCTAATTCATTTGCAAGGCCAGCTATATCAAGCTAGCGGGAACTCTGTGGCGGCACCATTCAAGACCTGGCGGGTTTTTTGAAGCTTTTTTGTAGCTTTTTTGTAGCTCTTTTGTTACACTATTTGCAAATTTGTAGCTTAGCCCAGGTCCGAAAAAACAGCGGATCCGCTAGCTTGAATTTCCATAAATTCCATAGTAGCGGCACAGATTCAGACCCAGCTGGTTTTTCGTAACTTTTTGTAGCTTTTTTGTTAGTCTCCCTTTTGTAGCTTGTACTACTGAACCTGAGAAAAACGCGGATCCGCTAGCTTAGCGGATATTTGTAGCGGCACCAGCCCGGACCCGGCTCATTTTTTGTAACTTTTTTGTAGCTTTTTTGTTACGCCTTTCTCGATTTCGTTGCGAGGCCTGAACGTGAGTAATAATCGTTTCTCCATGAGCGTGAGAGAAAAGTGCGTTAATTTAAAATCAAGTTTCGGCCTCTAGAACAGAAGTAAAAGTTGGAAATGCTTTTGCCAGTTCTCCCACTTTATACACATAAATTGACAGGTTGGCAGCGGATCTCACCAAAGCACATAGAGGTTCCACGTGAATGATTAAGGTCAAAACCGATGGTTAAATTCTACAATTTCACCAGTAAAAACATCAACAAATTAATATTTTACATCTACTAAATAAATAAACAATTTTCAAATAGTTCGACTGCTTTTTACCCTAATATAATGTGAAGTCATAAAACTATAAATAGCATTTTTCTCAGAATACCAAACGTCGTACACCTGTGTTTTCAGGTGCACAGCGGTGCATTGGAACAAAATGAGTGTCCGGCGCATAGTTAACGAAGCACAAATGACGTATTTCATTATGTCATGATGTTTTCATTGGTTGAAACCGAATAGGTGCGTCAACTATGCCCCGGATACTCATTTCGGTCGAACAGTATATATTAGGGCGAGCTCGACGCGAACGGCATTCAGTAGTTGTCATCATCGCTCACAGTTGTCTGCCATCCGAACGTTCAGGTGCTTTCTGCCGACGGCACGTTACTTTCTACATTTTTACAAGCGTTTAATGCAGTTTATTTTCTGGTGCAAGTTATATCTTCTACAATTATTATGGCATAAGAAATTCTACAAACAAATGTTTTCAAGTTGGTAACTAAAAATTCAACTGTATTAGTTAATCAAATTGTGATGAACTAAAATTGTAAATATTTAAAACTGTTTAGTGAAGATAAGAAAATTATTATATCTAAATGGAATCAACCACTATGTATTTACTTCAGTAAAAATAGTGAATTAAAAACACTTCTTTTTCTACTACCTATGACTCGTTAGTTATTTCTACAAAAGAACCCAATTCTTCTAACACCAGCGACATATGCTACAGAACATTTTTACCAAAGAAATATTCGGAAGTAACACCGGTATTTTTTCAACCGACAACTGACATTTTTTATGCTATTTGCTCCAAACTCTAGATGGGGCCACTGGTGAAATTCTGTTTTCTTACTCCATTTTTAAGCTTTAATGGGAGAAAGATCCTTCCTCCATGGGAGAAAGACTCCAAAGATGTGAGGTGTATTTATTTAGTTTTTGGTTAGTCTCATTTTTCCGTCTGATTTTAGTGATTTTTTGTTGGCTTTGGCTTTTGGTTTCTGTTTATAGTTTCGTCTTAGTTATTTGCAAAATTGTGATGTTTCGCTTTTCTATTTCCTTATACTGTGTTTTGCAATAATTTTGGTGCTACCTGTGAGTGCTACGTTAAAAACTTCGAGAAAAACTTATTGATTCACCATGCATTTGCATCATAAAAAGACAAACGGGTATAACAACTAATTGATAATCAATTTATCACTGGACTAGATTCCGAAATCATTTTTCACATAAGAGAGTAATACACAAAGCAGTGGAGTAATACCACTATCTGTGTTTGGAAGGCAAATATCTATTTATCATTGAATGAATAGTTAAAAGGATTCAGCTTTTAACACAATACCTATATTACATATTTGTCCTCGGTTTAAAAGACATTTATAAAATATATTATTTTAGTGTTAATAAAATGTAATATCCTAGTCTCTACTTTACATTTAAATTATTGATAGGTATTTTAAAGATTTGAGATTGTATACCTATTTGCTGCAAGTAAGTATTCATTAAATATGTATTATTATTTGTATTTGTTTTATCTAATAATATTTGTTTAAGTTATTAATAAACATATTTTAAGAATGTTCTATTTTATTATTTATTGATATATCTTATATTTATTTAATAATAATATGCAGAACCAACTCTCCACATCAAAACCCTTCTTATAACAAATTAATTCCTCAAATTTGGTATAATCGACCTAAATTATTTTGTAAAATAAAAGTTTCGAACTTACTAGTTCCATACTTTATTTTATAAAATAATTTATGTGGAAATCATTTAAAATTTAATTTAAAACTACTACCTACTCCTAAAAATTACAATTTGAATTTACCGCCATCTGCCAATTGTCATTTTAGTTCCAGCTCCAAACACAAGGTGGCGCTAATTTGGTTTAAAAGTTTAACATTGGCGTGGGGTCTCTAGGATGTCACCACAAAGCACGTATCTTCTAGAGAATACTACCCCAGGGGTAGTATTCTCGAGTCACGAATATAGATTCGCATGCGAGATTTATGATTTGTCTCACTTGGTTTTCGTTCAACAAAGTGAGACACATTGTGAAACACGTATGCGAATGTCGGTATTCGTGATTCGAGAATACTACCCCAGGTCTTGAATGGTGCCGCCTGGTGCGGCCACAGAGTGCCCGCTAGCTTGATGTAGCCTGCAAGGCCATAGCAAATACACATCAAACTTGGATGAGATCACTATACATAAAAGACCATTTAAGAAATAGAAGTAGAAGACGGTGTTAAAATTGTCAGTTGACACTTGTCAGATACAAACAAATCTGAAGAAGAAATGGAGGGAATTTGTGTGGAAAATTCACTCGGGGTTTAAAACGCCACAAAGAATTCAGATAACGTTGATAATAGGAGTTGATAGCGTTTATTGTGTTCATTAAAAATTATAGTATTTAGTGTTAGCACTTGTGAAATATCCAGTTTAAAAATGTCCTTTTTCAATTAACTTATGAATAGTATCAGGAAAATAATTTCAAGAATGGCCCATGCAGCTTTAGCATCCAAAAGTGATCTTGGACGTCCTTTTACCGTTGCCGTTGAAGGAAACGTTGGTAGTGGTAAAACAACTTTTCTACAGCATTTCATCAAAAACAATAATGTTGCTGTATTTGCTGAACCAATCGATATGTGGAGAAACTGCAATGGGTACAATTTACTAGTAAGTTTGCACAATGTTAAAAAAATATGCGTATTGTTTTTCCATCTTAATTTTGCTTCTATTTTTTGTTAAGTCCATCTTGAGTAAATTTAAAAAATGCAATTCTCTTAAAAAGAATAAAAACTGTGTAGTTAATAACAATGAGTATTATATTTTCTCCTATATTTCAACTTTCACTGCTTGGCTGCCCATGTGTGGTGCCCACCCTACTTTTGTTTTTAAAAATACAAATCAAGGGCCACAACACAGGACCTGGTAACTAACATTTCCACTGAAAATTATATTTTATGGTAATCTTGTTTAAAACATTTCTCTTCATCTACTGTATAGGAGAAATATTACAATTTTTTAACAAAATATGGGTAAATATTAGTCCTTATAGAGTAAAATGAATTGTTCTATGCACTAGTGAATCGTTTACTTTTATAGAATCTAATGCACTTTCAGTTCCTTATCATATAAGTCTTATCTGATTGCCCAATACAAATACATTGCAATAAAATGTGTTCACTTATTCAGCGCAATGTAAAATACAAAGTGTGGCGTGGCTGCATTATGTTAAAATTGTTTCTGTTATTAATAGATAATTTTGTAGGGAATTATTGTCAACTGTACATTTTTTAAGCCTGATAATAAACTGTATAGGCCCCTAGGTTATTTTATTTTTTTATATTTACAGGAACTTATGTATCAAGATCCCAAAAAATGGAGTTTCACTTTCCAATCCTATGTACAACTTACCATGTTAAGGCAGCACCAAAAGAAAGTTATTCAGCCTGTAAAACTGATGGAAAGATCTCTCTACAGTGCAAGATACTGTTTTGTAGAAAAATTGTCTAGAGATGGCTTAATGCCATCAGCCTCAGTAGCAGTTATTGATGAATGGTTTAAATATATAACAAAGTATGAAGATACTACTGTAGACCTTATCGTTTACTTAAGAACTTCTCCTGAGGTAGCTTATGAAAGGATATTAACGAGAAATAGGTCTGAGGAAAGAACTGTTGCATTTGAATACATCAAAGCCCTCCATGACATTCATGAAGATTGGTTATATCACAAAACTCTGCACAAATGTGTAGCACCTGTATTAGTTTTGAATGCTAACTTAGATCGCTCTGTTATTGAGGGAGAATATGAAAAGTATGAACCACACATTCTCAACAAGATACCATTAGAAGCTAAAACCATGTAATTTCATTTTGATTGAAGTTTCTTTAAAATTATTAATTCCTTTTTATTTAGACATAATTTAGTTTAATTTTAAGTATACTGCACTGGAACAAATTCAGGAAAATGTGTAATTTTAATTTTTGTCTCCAATTTGTATTATTTTTAAACCAAAGTACTAAAAGTATATAAACATGGTTTTATTAAAGAACTGGCATGGTGTCTTACAAATGACACTTAAATATGTTTGTGTTAGTAGAGTATAGATATTTATTTACATTCTTATATTATGGCATTTTAATAATATCATTCCTTATCACACTTTTATTGCTTGTATTGTTTTTCTTCAAAATCCTTTAATTGGCATTCGTTTAACAGACCAAAGTATTTTTATTTTAATGTATAGGAGTAGATATTATTAAAAAATTAAGCAGAAATTTTAACAAAGTTTTTTATTCAAGCATTAATGAATTAAATATTTCGGTAAATAATTTTGTTTTATTTTTCCTATTTACGGATTTTTAAAAAGTATGCAGCAGGTTACTGATTGATTACTCAGAATAAGACAGGAATTTTAAGATTTATCTATATTATAAAATATGGGTAATATAATCCTTTCAGCTTGAAATGTGTTACCTTTTTAGTTTTTCTATGTGTGTTACTGTGAACATGCATGAATCCCATAACGTAAATGGGCGTAAGCAAAACCACCACAGAACACTTACTCTCAACAAGACACTCGCCCATAGGTAAAATAAGTATCAATAATCGGAGACAACATATTCTAGATCTGTGGAGACAACCCAGCCTGCTATAATCAAAAAACGATGTCCCCGCCGTTTTGTATTATTCCAAAAGACCCCAAGAGGGCGACACAGTCACTTCTTATTTCCCTATAGTTCAGGCCTCTTGTTTGATGAGGACAGTTTCACAATTCTTTTGAGTTTAGTACAGTGATGGTACAGTGTTAGTACATACGTCGTGATCCATAGATAAATTAATAAACAAGATAAATCGTTTAAATGCACGGCACTGGTAACAAGTTTTTAGGTGTTTAGTTCATCAGCATACTACTTGGAGCCACCATCGCAATAAGAAGAAAGCGATGTTGCCAGTTTCCATAAACTTTCATAAGATTAGAATTATTTAAACACATTATGTTGTTTTTTTTGTCAAGCTCGATACCATCCATACAATGGCATACTATTGCATACTATTGATGGGATATTTTAAAAAGAGGTTTGGCAACCTTCTAAAAATGAAAAACGGAATGGCGTCGGAAGGCGAAATGGGCAAATTACAACAATAAAAGTAAATAAAAGTTATTTTATGATGTAAGTTCGCATAGGTATAGAGAAAGTAAAAGTTAAAAAGTCTTTTGGTAGGTAGAGAGGGGGTAAACGTCAAACCACGTCGGGCGGCTCCGAGAATTTCACAGTAATGTTTACCTGCCAGTGTCGTTTCATAGAATAAGTAATTTTAAATTGTTATCGGCGGAACCGGACAATCGCATGTATTTATGGATTATAAATAATTATTAAACATGTATTATAATATTCAAATTATAATTTTACAAAATTTCAACAGCTATTCACAATTTATTAAACTATTTACTCGAAATTGTTATTAACATCTATAAAATAATTTTGTACGCCAATGTATCGTGTCCACTTCGGTGAGATCCGCTGACAACCTGTCAAGTTATGTGTATAAAGTGGGAGAACTGGCAAAAGCATTTCCAACTTTTACTTCTGTTCTAGGTAAGTTATTTTTAGGTTAAGAAGATTTATGAGTGATGATTTGATGTAATTAGTAAGTATTAACAATTTAATTTAATATTAGGTGTTAGATTTGTTTAAGGACTTTGTTTATCATTGTTTTCTTAGCCTTGACACGAAATATAAGTAATTTCATTTTGAATCTATTTTCAATTCTTTTTTTAATATATTTGTAATAATATCAAAACATGTCTGACCCGGGTAAAGCATCGAAGGGCAAAGCTAAGTATTCTTGTTCAACTCGTAATTGTTTAAATAAGTATTCTAATATTCAGCAAGCTGGTTATTCAAATAAAACTTTTTTTCATTTTCCAAAAATGAAAAGTAATTTTTAAACTCTAATTTGTTATATCAACTAGAACAGATTTGTTTTACAGTTAAAATAAAATTCAAATTAACTATTGAACTATGAGAAATAATTTTTGTTTATAAATTAATTAAAATTAACTTGTACTTATAAGAATTGGCAACATTTTGATAAGAGAAATTGTTCAATAAGGTATGTACACTTTTTTTTGTTTTTATAGAAAACGCCCTGAGAAAACACTTAACACATGCATCGAAAATTGGTCCATTTTCCATGAATGAGAGGAGACTATACTATTAATTTCACTTACAATTATTGTTATGTAATATCGAGTACATGTTATGTATGTAATAAACGTTTAAATGCACCTTACTTGTATTAAATGATTAAACTATACCTTTTTATAAACTCAAAAATGTAAACAATAACAAGCCACAACATTTAATTTAAATGTTTGTGTTTCAAGTATTTTAGTATAAATATTTCTTTATTTATATTTTTTGAAGTTTTATTACTTTAAAAAACTAATATTTATGTTAAATACAATATTTTAATTTAAATATTAGTTTTTTTTTTGAGTAATGAATTCCGAAAAAATGTAAATAAATAATAAAGTACATTTGAATGAACCGCGGGAAAAATAGACACTCTTCTTTTTATTTTCTTATTCTGTGCTGCCTTTAACTGTCAAGCCAATTGTGTAATGTGCGATGGTGGCTCCAAATAGTATGCTGAGGAACTAAACGTGTTACCAGTGCCGTGCATGTAAACGATTTATCTTACATATTAATTTATCTATGTCGTGATCTATTTGCTGCGTTTGAGAATCCACATCGGATGAAACAATCAGGGGTGGGAAACTGGTATGCGCAGGCCTGGGATCAATCAACCACGTCCGCGTGGCGCTGCAGTCGGGTGGTGGGGTAGGTGGTGGGAGTGTAAATGACAGGTGAATATTGATTTTTGTGGGGGTGTCATGGCTTCTTGGCTTAAACCAAACGTAAACTTTGTTTATTTATATTGGTGACTGTTGTATTCAGTTGTATTAAAAACTGTTAGCCAAATTAAGATTTGTTCACACAAACTGCATTTTTGCTTTATTATAGCGATATTCGCTATAATAAAGCAAAAATGCAATTTGTGTGAACAAATCTTAATTTGGCTAACAGTTTTTAATGCGGATAATTTTTACTGTCAAATTTGAATAGCCCCGCGCTTTTCTTCTCTTCTTCTTTTTATTATTTTCTCTTCTTTCATATGGCCTCTTACCAGACAAGGACTTAATTGAAAAAAAATCAACCACGTCCACCAGGTGCCGCTAAAAACTCTATCATCCTTTTTTAACATGGGAGTTACCGTTCTAAGAGTAAGTGTTCTGTGGAAACAATATATAAAAGGTCTGTGATCGGATCAATGAAGTGGAGAGGGGTAGAATGATAACTGTCAATGAAAAAGTCTGGACACTATGCACAATTTCGTTTTGCACATTTTGTAAACAAAATTCAGGGACGGTTTAACAACATTTTGTGCAACAATTATAAAATAGTGCATCGAAAAATAATTAACAAGTATAATTTAATACTAAATCGGAATAAAAGCATAAAAAATCATAAATATAAGCAAGATAACAAAGAATTGACGCCAAAAAAGCTTACAACAGCCAAAACACAAACAAAAAACAGAGCTGAACATGAACATAATCGCTGAATAAAGTCGATCCTGGAATTTGTTTACAGTGCTTTAGGGCAACCTCTCCTTGTCATTTACGTGTGTAAGAGTGGAAGGCTGAATCACGCATAATTTCTACACTCGTGATGGATGCGCAGACGGTACCTTATCGTTCTACCCTCTCTACTTCTTTGGATCGGATGCATCTGAGACGTATAGAGAAAGTAAAAGTTGAAAAGTCTTTTGGTAGGTAGAGAGGGGGTAAACGTCAAACCACGTCGGGAGGCTCCGAGATTTTCACAGTAATGTTTACCTGCCAGTGTCGTTTCATAGAATAAGTAATTTTAAATTGTTATCGGCGGAACCGGACAATCGCATGTATTTATGGATTATAAATAATTATTAAACATGTATTATAATATTCAAATTATAATTTTACAAAATTTCAACAGCTATTCACAATTTATTAAACTATTTACTCGAACTTGTTATTAAAATCTATAAAATAATTTTGTACGCCAATGTATCGCGTCCACTTCGGTGAGATCCGGTGCCAACCTGTCAATTTATGTGTATAAAGTGGGAGAACTGGCAAAAGCATTTCCAACTTTTACTTCTGTTCTAAAAAATCTTTGATCACGTGGTTGGTTCAGTATACGTAAATGTAATGGGACAGATGTGTCCGATGTGGATAAAAAAAAGCTCGAGATGTAAAAAATGCATCCGATGTGGATTCTCAAACGCAGCAATAAATTCCATGTTTTAATGAAATTAAAAAATATGAAAGTGTTTTGAACGCCTATCATTATAACGCGGTTCTAATAAAAAAATCCAAATTCTGTTTTCAATTTTCTCAAAGCATACAGCCAGCTTTATTTTCAAGACATTTCTTTTTTTTAACCTAAAAATATCTTCTTTTCTCATTTGTTTTTACTTTTTATGTTATCTTTTTTAAAGAACTTAATTTTTGGTAGCTCTGCTGGCGTTTAAAATAGCATAAATGGAAGAACTAGAACCATCTGAACTCGGCACTCAAGAATATTGGAATACGCGGTATTCCAAAGAAATTGAAGATTTTTCAAATCATGGCGATCCCGGTGAAATTTGGTTTGGCGAGGATATTGTGGATCGTGTAATTCGCTGGATGAACAAATCTGATTTGATTAAAAAAGATAGTAAATTGGTAGACGTAGGATGTGGCAACGGTATGCTTTTAGTGGAACTAGCCAATGATGGTTATACAGATTTAACAGGAATAGACTATTCTGATAAAGCAGTTGAATTGTCCAAGAAAATAGCAGAAAAACAGAATCTGAACATAAAATTCTTTAATTATAATGTATTAGAAAGTATTCCTGATTCTTACCAAATTTTTCATGATAAGGGTACATACGATGCTATAAGTCTAAGTGAAAATTCTAAAGAGAATCGCTTAAAATATATAGAAAACATTTCCGGAAGTCTCAGTGATGGAGGTATACTTATTATAACATCTTGTAACTGGACCCAAAGTGAATTGAATGAACAATTTCATGAAAAATTTAATCTACTGTCTATTATTCCTACCCCACAATTTAAATTTGGAGGCAAGGTGGGAAATGTAGTTACATCATGTGTGTATCAAAAGAAGTAATAAGACTGATGTGTATATTTATTGTTATATTTTATATTAAGACAAAAATAAAGTGACATGTTAAGAAAATCAATTATTGATATTTGAGTCTTCAAGATTCAAAGGTGACCTATAGTAACACATAAACCATTTAGACACCTTGTGTTAAATATTGTGATTTTGTTATAGTATATAGATATGTAGAACTTGACCTTTGTATTTTGTAGAATTTGAGAATGTCTTTTACATTGACCTGGCAAATGATTTGAAATTGTACAATAAAAAAAAGCAAATACAAAGGACCCCGCCCTTTTCTAATAGTAAAGTGGCGTTCCGTCAAATGTAATAAATTTTGAATATGATATACTCGAATGGTTGAACAAAAGTGTTCATGGGACCTATTCAATCCTATGACTAGTTTTTAAAATACAGGGTGTTAAAGTCGAGAAATCGTATTCCTTAAAACTATGTAACTTAAAAAGAAAAAAATAAGCATTTTTAGTTGATTGTAGCATTAATAGGTTCTTTCGTTCGCTATTGGTGTAGTGTCCACCAGTGTAAATTACACCAGTTACACCACCTTATTTACCCTAATTTGATTCCTCCTTATTCCTTATACACATCGTCGAGTGTAATTCACTCCTGCTAAATAGTTGGTGGAGAAAATATCCACCAGTGTACACCACATCGCCGACAGGAAGGTATAGTGGGTTTTACACCGGACCAAACGAAAGGTATGGGTGTGGGTTGGTGTAGTTCATTACTACACCCAACTACACCAGTGGGACGAACGAAAGAACCTAATATGTCCTAGCCTAACGCAAACGTACACATAAATAGTTTAAAATGTAAACATATACAGGGTGGTACTCAGTTACATCAGGGGGAATTTTTGAAATTCTGATATAGAATGAAAACATGGTCAAAAATAAAAACTTACATAATGTTTACTGTTCTGACATTAAATTATATGTATACAGGGTGGTTGTTAATACATTCCACAGAAAGGCATTTCTTAAAAAAAAATTATACTCTATATTAGGGAATTTGTTATTAATATTCATTATGCATGTAATACCTAGAAAACAATACTTTTTATGAAATACAGGGTGATAGACACATCTAATTCGTTTTTGATGCAGCAATAATTGAAGAAATATTCCTTTTTCAGAATCATATAATTTCATAATTTTAGTATGATACGTTTTTGAGATTCAAATATATATAGTGAACCATTAAATATCAGACAATTCAGGATATTCGCACACTGGAATTTTTTATTTGCTGAAAACTTATCAGGGGTAATACCACAAGAACTCAGATTTAGCCAGATATTTTTTGTGGTTATTTTCGAATACTTACTTTCATTGGCAATTGCCTAATGATAGTATGAGAAAACCACCGTAAAAAAATATCCTGCTAGATCTGAGCTCGCGTGGTATTTGGTAAGACCATTCCATGAATAGAAAAATCAATTCAATGAAACTTTTTTTTTTTCGTATTTTTCTAGAGTTGATTTTTCAATCTCCCTTACTATTTCTGCCTCGCAAATATTAATAAATCTCGATATACTTATTGAAATATAGGAATATTGATTGCTGTTTAATTCTGTTTTTGACCTTTACAATTGACAAACTGATGCGACGCGCAACGCTTGATAAAGGAACAATAAATGCTAGGGTAACGTAATTTGGGGTCTATTCTGTAACAATTCCTTTATATTTAACGGCCTTTAAAAATATTGGCGGCCTATAAAAATATGTTCGTATTCGTTAATTTACTTCTATCATTATTTAAACAGATTTCTTTAAGATACTCCTCTAATGTATTTTAAAGATCCGTTTAAATAGTGACCGAATTAAAGAAGAAAATATTTTTAAAGGCCGTTAAATATAAAGGAATTTTTACAGAATAGACCCCTTTATCCGATATTTTTATCCACTTGCATTTCTGTTTCTTACTATTTAGCCGATGGTAAACTACGATTTTTGTACTCGCAAATGGGAATTATTATACCTACATATATAAGTGGTTTTGTCTGATATTTAATATGGTTCACTATATATTGGAATCTCAAAAACGGATCACACTAAAATTATGAAATTATATGAAGTTATTAATTGCTTAAAGCTAATAACAAAAATAAATAGTTCGTACATTTTGATGGATCGAATTGAAAAATATAGGGTGATTCTGAAAAAGGAATATTTCTTTAATTATTGCTACATCAAAAACGAATTAGATGTGTCTATCACCCTGTATTCCATAAAAAGTATTGTTTTCTAGGTATTAAATGCATAATCAATATTAATAACAAATTCCCTAATATACAGTGTCATTTTTTTAAAAAACGCCTTTCTGTGGAATGAATTAACTCACCCTGTATACATAATTTAAAATGGGTTTATTTAATGTCAGAACAGTAAACATTATGTAAGTTTTTATTTTTGACCATGTTTTCATTCCATATCTCAGAATTTCAAAAATTCCCCCTGATGTAACTGAGACCACCCTGTATGTATATGTTTACATTTTGAACTATTTATGTGTACGTTTGCGTTTGACTAGGACATATTAATGCTACAATCAACTAAAAATGCTTATTTTTTTCTTTTTAATTAAGTTACGTAGTTTCAAGGAATACGATTTCTCGACTTTAACACCCTGTATTTTAAAAACTAGTCATAGGATTGAATAGGTCCCATGAACACTTTTGTTCAACAAGTCGAGTACATCATATTCAAAATTTATTACATTTGACGGAACGCCACTTTGCCATTAGAAAAGGGCGGGGGTCCAATTTACTGGTGTCAAAATATCTTTTACATTTTTAGACAGCCTTTGCATCCAGGAAGTTTTTGGTATTAAAAAACCAGCAGTTTTTTAATTACCAAATAAGGGGTTTACAAATTTTGCTTAGTTCAATGATCTAAAAATCGATAGATATACTAATATCAAATAAATTAGTTTATTTTTCATGGTATTTATTTTGAGGGCCACAAGGCAGGACCTCGTAAGTCACAAAATCAACATTTTTCAGAAGATAAAAAAAAAACGATTTACAAATGCATAGAACAATCCATTTTACTCTATAATTCGTTTAATATTTATCCATGTTTTGTTCAAAAATTGTAATACTTTTCCTATAAAGTAGATGGAGCGAAATGTTTTACACGAGATTATCATAAAATCTAATTTTCAGTGGAAATGTAAGTTACGAGGTCCTGCATTGTTGGATTCATGATAAGTATGTTTGAACCCTAAAAAGAAAACATTTTTATTAGAGTCAACGCAATCTAAAAAAAGTTGCAGCAACTTACACCACTAAAACCTGACTTTGTAACATATCTAGATTTTCTCTAATTGTATTTTCCATTTATATTTTTATATAGATTCATCATTCAAAGCTATTTTGAGTGTTGTAGACAATACATTATTTTGACCATTGCAGTACTGTTGAACTCTAAATTTAAGATTATCAAAACTAAGGGTCTATTTATACTCCCTTATTTTTATTATTTGCATATAGTATTATGATTAAGGATTAAGTTGAACCTTCACAATGTAATGGGGTCATATATACTCGATTTACAATTATTATTATTATTATTAGCATTTATATTTTGCTTAATCTATTGTTTCAAATGCAGGTCTGTTAACATATTTATCACATAACACTATGATACAAAATAGGTATAAAAAGTATTTGCTACTAATAGTTGATTGAGGAAAAAAGTTGTTTTACCATGATCCAATATATATGAAGTAAAAGGATCCAAGACAATCTGAGGTAGTTTATCATTCATATAAAGTACAAATTCTATATTAAATAGCTGAATTTATTTTGCTTTGGATCAAAAATCGTATAATAAATTTCCATAGCGACTAATTTAAGTTAGTATGTGTAATGTATAAGTGATTCCTCTTCAAGTTACATTTTTTTGTGAATTATCTATCAAAATATGTGATGCATTATCAAAATTGTCTAACAGTAAAGGCATCTACATGTGTAATATTAAAAGTATTTTATTCTGCATTTTTAAGAGCAAACCGGACCTATCGCAAAAGCAAAAATGTTTTTAAGGTTTTTCTAATATAATGTATTTATATGCATGCTATTGGAAATACTTCGTGATATTATGTGTCTTGACAATATAGAGACATTTAAGAAAAAAAAGGTGGGAAATCATCCCATTTAAAAACTACTAGAAGTTTATTAAAACAAAAAGCAATAAGTTTTCATAGATTTAATACTCAGAATGGCGCGTAAATGTTTTTTTTTAATTCCTTTTAAAATTTTTCAAAATAAATACTTTTCGAAGGTTTACAAAAAATTTAAGGTTTCTCCACCTGAAGTTTTGTTATTATTGTTATTTCCTGAAAATTTCACAAAAATCGGACTAAAAATAAAGGCTCAGAATGAATTACAAATTTTCGAAGTGTTCGGTTTGCTCTTAATATTCATAAAAAGATATGAAAATATAAAGATTTACCAAATACCGAATTAAATATAAGAAAAAAAAAGTTTTTTACTTGATATTTAATAAAAATAAAATTCATAGAATAAGAACATCTTTTGATGCTTATCATCTGAATTTTAAAATGTATTTATTGTACTGAAATGTTAAAAATAAACATTTGGTTTATATATTAAAAAAAAAAAATGTATACTAAAAATATTTCAAGTTAACATGCATAAATCCTTATTGTTCACGTAGATAAGTACGAAAAAACATATACAAACAGTTACAAAACATTAAACAACTTATTACAAGGTTTTCGAATTAAATAGTAAGAACTTGGAAACCTAATTTAAATATAATTTTAAAGTACCCAAAAAAAATTAAAAAAAATTGTGTTTGAAAAAACTTCTTAAGCGATTGTAATTCCTGAATTAACTGGGTCGCTGGCACTAATCCAAATGGTGGCACTCAGAGGGGGGAAGGCAGGCTGGAACCCAAACTCGATTATGGATTGGGGGAACCTGCCTCAGTCAGAATTTGCTGGCAAGTGCTCCAACTCACTCCTGTTTATTTTAAAATTTCCTCGATCGTGAAATGACGATCATCGTTTTATTTACGGATTTTTCAATATTTTCATTATTCCAAGATTATGAAGGGCGCCCAGAAGTGATTGGCAAGGTCTCTACCAGGCGCACTTAGCGGGATAACTCGCTCCTTCCTAGGAACGGCCGCGCGCTTTTAATCCGTTTTTTTGGGTCCCCCCTTGGTTATATATTTTTGCGACCAACTATTTCGAGTGGAGTTGGAGAAAAACGGCACGAGGGCTAGAACCAGTGGCCTATATGAAGCATTCAGCATTTAGTCACCTGTGGATGCAAAACAAACAACCGTGGAGCTGCTTCCGGGTGCAGAAAAGTACGTTTCTGTGCTCGGTCTCATGTAAAGAGGGTTGCGGATAAAACTAGCATTGAAGAAGAACCACCAAAAAAAAGCAATATACAAAAAATGAAGTTTATTGACCGTGAAAGCTTTCCTAAGATTCAACCTGAAATAAAATTGCAATCCTAAATACCGTAAAATTTTCATTTTCCTTGACCCTGATGCTTTGGATATCAAATATTGTAAATTGTACACTTTACATTAATTTTCCAGTACTGACTAAAGCTAAAGATGGGCAAAACTCCTATTTTTAAATAGCAGTTACTGATTTTTCCAAATAGCTGCTTTTTAATAACAGTTTATTATATCAATCGCAATAGCCGGGACAACGGCTCAAGTGTTTACATATGTAGTGGCGTTAGCAACTTGCCATAATCGCGTCGCATTTAGTTAGGTTAAAAATAATTCCGAATAGCAGCTTAGTTAAACAAGGGGAGACTGAAACATAATTCGCGAGCGTATAACGGAATATAAGTGAAAATGATTTGTAATGGCCGATAGCAGTTGAAAGCTAAATAGCAGCTGTCAAATAGCAGTTTACTAAAAAGCAACCCATCTCTAACTCCACGAGAATGGCACCTATCCGAAAAGATCTTTAGTCTTGTTAGCGGGGAAAAATTATTGCTTCTCTCTCTCTCCCTCCCAATTCAATAGGAATCATTTCTGCTTGGAAGATCGTGGCCAGAGAGCCCAGGTTTATTGATATCTCAACTCTTGGCTTCTGGCCGAAAACTCCCGCTCCTACTTTTTTTTCATTTGTGGAGCCGTCCTTGTACAGCGCATAGTCCGCCTGGGAGGTTTTATCCCCCGTTCCATACGTCTCTCTCTGGGATGAGGACACTGTATGACTTTTCTATGTGCTGTTGGGGAACTAGCGAGTCTGAAATCATGCCGGGAATGAATTGATTATTAATCAGCCCCGTCTTGTCCCATCACAGTTCTTCACTGCATTAAATACCCATCTTCAGGAGTCTATAGGACACCATTCTGGCCTCTTTCCAGTAAAATATGGAAAGGGGTTAGGTCCAACATGGTCTCCATGGCTTTCGTCGGTGTGGTTGACATTAAGGTATTTTTCGCGGCATAAACCAACATAAACGTTTATGGTTTGACAAATCTAGAAACGGTATCAAAGGTAAAAGATGGCTTTAATTTTAAAATTAAATAAGATTAAAATTGAAGTAGAGGAAAGATACGAAATTATTCAACAATTACAGATTGTAAATATAAATAGCACAAATAGAATTTGTTGTAATTTTTAGACAATAGGTACATTAATAATTAATATAAAATAATTAAACTCTTAGGAAAAATCGCGTGTTTTACACACACATAAGTAATTGAAGTAATAAAAAATTGTTACTTCAACTCACTGCCCACTTTCAAAACAGCATGGATTTTTCCATTTTGGCGCCAACATATACTATATATGGTGGGGGGATAGACGAACATGATCGAACAACATAATCCGTTTATGCCGCGAAAAATACCTTATTGTCCACTTTCAAAACAGCATGGATTTTCCATTTTCGCGCCAACATATACTATATGTGGTGGGGGGATAGACGAACATGATCGAACAACATAATCCGTTTATGTCGCGAAAAATACCTTATTGCTTATTGCCCCAGTGATGGCGAGGCATGCAAGCCGCTAGATTCTAGTCAACTTTGCTCGGGCCCTCCGTTGAAGTCTCTTGTCCCACCAGACGACGGAACCGTACGTTACCATAGGTTTTACCACGTTTTGGTAAATCCAGTGAATTAGCTGAGGACTGATTTGCCGCGTATCCTTCTGAAGCTCCAAAGGGCTAATCTGGACTTGTTGATGATTTTTCCAAGCGAGGGTTCCCGGTGAGTTTCTTATCTAGGATAATCCCCAGATATTTCACCTTCTCCACAAAAGGAATGGTTTCCTCGGCCAAGGTAGGTTGTCGAAGCTTGTCGAGTTTTCTTCTCTTGGTGAAGGGGACGATGACAGTTTTCCGGGGGTTAACAGACATCTGCCCCCTCTCGCACAATCTGTTGATCGTATTCAGGCCTTTGGAAATCCACCACCTGCCGAGAGAGATCGTCTAGCAGGTTATCCACCAGAATGGTAGCAGTAGGGGTGAAAGTACGCCGCCTTGTGGACATCCTCTGGCAGGCCTGATTCTCTCTGCAGTGATGAAAATATTGTTCCGATTTGTAAGCATGCTTTTGATCCAATTACAGGTCAGTGTCGATTCATCTTCTTTCAATAGAGGCGAACAGACTCTAAGGAAGGGCTTTATTGAACACGCGTTCTATGTCTAGAAAGGCAACCAGCGCAATCTCCTCTTGTTTTAAGGAATGGCCGATTTGCCTACAAGATTGTGCGGAGCATGATCTGTCGATTTGCCTGCTTGGCTATGCATATTGGGAGGAGTTTAACAGGCTTGCCGGAAGGCGTCCTTCTCTAATATGCCTATCTAGAATTATCTCTAGTGTTTTCAATGTTGGGCAGATTGGACGGTAGGAGCTTGGTAGCAAGGCCTATAGCTTCACAAGGAGGGGTAGCAAGGGTTCCTGTCTTTTTTGCAAAAGGGCAGGAAATATATTTCCTGCATCCTCTCCAGGTGATTTGAAAGGGGATAATTAATTCATCGCCCATTTCACGGCGCTTGAAGAGACAACGATGCTGTTGAATAGAAAGAAATAGAACAATAGATGCTAATCCACTATATGTAGAGGTATAACCATGCTTTTAAGCATCCAATCATAAGTATTTGAATGAAAAGTATAATGAACGGATATCGTTGATGAAATCCATGATGATGTACTTTTGTACTGTAATGATTAGTGTATAAATACGGTAGATTTGAGATCACATTAAACTTTTTTTGCAGACTCTTATTATCTGCAGGATTTTTGGGTATTTCCGGACCACAGACTTTTTCGCTCTAGAGCGCATTTTGAAAAAATATCACACTGACGACATTACTATAAACAGACTCAAACAGATTATAAGAACCTGATTCAGCGCTACAAATTACCAAAGACGATGCAAGTCTCGTGTTTTCGGTATATTTTGAACTGGATTACTTTGATAATCGACGATTTTAGACAGACAAGCTGTCATCCGAGTGATCAACCAATTATGATAATCGTTCGAATTATGCTCATCACTAATACTGAAATTTGTGCTGTGCTTTGATCGCCGACTATGGATTGCACTATACCCTCCTTATCATCGAAAGGGCGTAGTTAAACAAAGTTATTCTCTCACGTCCAAATGTAATTAAGTGTCATATTTATTTTGCTTGATGCTTTGGTTAACATACTGTATACAAATTTTAATCATTTTCAATATAGAAGTCAAAATCAAGCTTCGTGTCACATCAAAAAATTATATAGTAATCCACAAAAAATGCATCCAAAGTAGACCTTGGAAAATTTCAGGTATGTCGAAGCGTACAATTCTTTTCAAATATTAGTTTGATTTAATTCAAAAAGTGCAGTTATCACGGACATAACTCTGTATTTGTCAGTCATGCCCTATTTTATAAACATTTTTTGTATATCACAAAATATTTGAGACACCATGAACCCTATCTCCGATAATGTTATCAATTTTGTAGGTACTTATGTGCCGAACAACTTTTACACCTACAGTTTAGTTTTGGCATAAAAAAAAAATTTTTTGGCCGAAAAAGCGAAAAGTTTTTAGGAACCTTGGGGGTCTTCTACTTTTGGTATTTTTAATTGCAGAGCTGTGACCAAATGAGATAAATTATAGAAAATATTGTTCACTACAACTTTTGTAAGAAGCATTTTCCTTTTTTACAAAATGTCAAGGGGGTATTATGAAAATTTGGTTTTAAACTTTTTTATGGTCACCTAAAGATTCATGAATTACAATCACATGAAGTTTTTTCTGAAAAAAAAAAAAAACAATTTTTATCTCAAGCAGTCATAACAGACGTACAGGTTTGTCACTTCTATGCTCTTCTCTATCCGAGTATACTCTACCTAGCTACAGCATTTCCAGATTTTAATTTCCTATTAATTATAATTTATTTAACTCTTGCTGTAAGATTTTTCTTAATAATCAATTTCTCTATATTTAATTACTCAATACTAAGACATGTTATTACTCGTTTCATAACACAACTCCCAATTATTGTTTATAAATTACCTTTAGCTACATTTAAAAAATATTTTTTAGGCTGTTGTACATTTTTAATCCCAAAAAAAATTATCCACACCAAAACATCCACAAAAATGTATAAGAATCTACAGTGTGGTGAATAATTAGTGGAGTAGTGTAGTTCAAAAATCGTATAGTTATATCTGTGTTATAAAAACATTGTTGACAAAAGTATTAGAGCTGAAAATTTTAAATACTGAGATAAAGAATAAATACACTATACTACTGTATTGATCTAAAAAAAACTTATTCAGATAATAATGTTTCAATTCTATCTAACTTGTCTATCCTACATACATTTGGATTATGGTATAATTTACAAAGAGGGGTAATTAAATCAACAAGTTTAAAATGTACAACCAACTCCTCCGAGTTGCATAAACCATCTACAAAATTAACAAGATTCTCAATTGTAGGTCTATCCATCTTATCAGCATATCTATCCAATACAAAATTTAAATTTTTCCCAATTTTAGAATCTACCAAAATGGTGACAAGTCGACTTAAAGCAATTTCGCCATCGTTATTTTCATCGGATAACTCAGGACAACCTACATATAAGAGATTTAAAGCAAAAAATGCTTCATTATGCATTATGGCATGGTTGGAGGAAATCATTTCAACTATGCATTTTATACATTCTGGTACAGTGAGTAACATTGTAAATGGTTTAACAGAAAGGCAATATTTAATCAACCAGGCCAGCAATCTTGGTACTTCCCCTCTAACTCCAAGATGTTCAGAATTGTAACACCAATACACCAGCCTTTCAATAAAGTCCTTACGAGATAAGAGGTCAAAAGCAGCAGATACTAAAAATAAATGTTATAAATAATTCAAAAAATTTGCGATTAACTGTGTACCTTGTTCTTCAATAACAATTCTAAATGTCCCCAACAATTTGAAAACAACCAAATCATGGTTAATTTTTATCATAGGATAAATAACATCAATCAGGCCTTCTTTTAGAATTTTTCCCTTATTTTCTTTAGGGATAACAAGATTTTTTAGAGTACTTAACAAGGCATGTTGAATTTTTACATCTTCTATTTCTGTGCTTGTATTATACTTTTTCAAAATATCTGTAAACAGTGTATAAATATTTCAATTCAAAGTTAATAACACTACAATTTTATCAAATATTTAGATAATTAATAATAAATAATTACCTATTAGCTTCTTGGAGATCCCTTTTTTCATCATATGAATACAGTGAACATCTTTTCTGGCAAAATTACCGAGTGCTAAAACACCTGTACTTAATAAATCTGGATCTTCATTGCTCAACCATTTAATAATGTTTTGAAAGACTACCCCTTCACCATCTTTGTACAGCAAACTCATGCATTCATCTATAACATTAAGTTTTATAATTTATTCGAATAATAAGGTCAAAATGGAATAAATAATTCTCTTCTTCTAGAAATACCAGATATAATAATTAAAAAAGTATTTATATCTAAATCATTAATAAGATATTTAAGTATTAAGGGAAATAAAATTTACCTCCTGTTAAAATAACAACAATAAAGTCACATGCCATTTTTAACACAGCTCTGCTTTCTTCATCTATTGCTAGTTCTCTATATTTTTCTATGTGTTCAAATAATAATTCACAGACACCTTCTTTGGCAATAAGGGTTTTCATTTCCTCTGAAGCAGAAACTGAAACACATTAAAATATAAGTGATACTACAAGCATATTATTTCTAGTTAAATACATATTTTTGAATGCTGCAGCTTTTAATTTTAATAATTTGAATTTTAATCATTGTCGGGTGCTTGTGCAATGGGTTTTGAACAATTTTTCTGGTGTCTGGTTGCATGATTAAAATATCCGGGAATATCTGTATAACTTTAGAAAAGTAAATACAGGCTGAGGACCTTTTTTTTTTAGAAGCTGGACAGAATAAAATAAAATTATAAGTCTAGGAACTTTTTTTTTTGAAAAGTTCGACAGAAGGACCTGGTTTATAAAATTATAAGCTGAGGACCTTTTTTTAGAAATTTCATAAAGTTTTGAGATATGAAAAAGTGGCAACCCTAGTTACAATACATGCAATTTATCAACTAATTGGAAAAATATCTTTCTTGGAAAAAGTGGATAAAAACTAGTATGAACTATATTTTTTAAGAAGTATGGCTGTTATAGTGCCTAGCAAAAACTAAAGCAAATAATTTTTTTACCTTGTTCACACTGAGAATGAAATATTTCTAAGCATGGTATAGATATTTCAGGAATTTTCGATTGTTTAAATATATCAATCAATAATTGGCAAAGCTCTTTTGTAAATGGAATATTCTGTTCATCTAAGAAATGTTCAACACTATTAATAATGGATACTAAAAACATCAGTAATGATTCATTCTTATTAAACTGTTGTGAATATTTAAGAAGTAACTTTTCCACTATGGGAAGTATACCATTTTTTAAAGATGACTTTATTAAATTGTCACTGTAATTAAACAAATTAAGCAGTAATCCAGCTGTTTTTGTGGTCAATTCATTATTTTCTCTGTAGCAATCTTCTTTTAAAATTGACAATAACTTATTAGCCCCAATTTTATCAATTATGGAGCAAGCTGCTTCATTTTCATAACAAATATTACCAAGGGCTCTTATGGAATTTATAGTAATATCAGGATCATTACTTTCCAACAAATTTAAAAGATCTTTTATAATTTCTTCACTGGTACAAATTTTCCGATTGGATTCAAGTTTTGCCAGCTCTGCTACTAATTCTGTTGTTGTTTTTAATATGTCTCTGTTACCGAATTTTAATAATTCTTGTATTAATAAAATATTATTGAGTTGCGTTTCTTTGGGAAATACCTTAAGATTATCTATGATTTTTGTCTCATCTTTCTCTTCAGTGGCTTTTGTTAAGTTTAGTAATATTTCCCCAATTTCAGACATTTTTGTTTACGATTCTTTTATATAAAATCGATAAATTCTAATTTTTACTTAACCAATTTCTTCTTCTCTTTTTTTTGGGCTGTATCCATGAGACAATTGACCCAAAACCAATAATTTGATTTTGACAGTTTTCTCTCTTTATTAGGCATTCCAAACAAATGAATTGCCAGTGGGAAGGTTTGGTATATCTAAGGGTGGCGACATACGGTGTATTCTATCTACTTTACGTAAAATCATGAATAATGGATAACATTTAAATATTTTATGTCAAACACAATAAAAATAATATTTAAAAAACCCACCTATACATTTCTTCATAAATTGGCAGGCTTGGCGACTACTACTTCGAATAAAAATAGCGTCCAAGTTGCAAGATTGTCGCTACCCCCTTAGATATACAAGAGGAATGCCTAATTGACGTTAGAGATGGGTTGCGACGTTGCAGACTGTGATTTGGGCGGTGTATGTTGTCTCTGATATAGCGAACTGCTGCTCCAGTTCTCAAAAATTGCAGTAAATTTTCTGAGCAATAATTTGCTTTTTTTGAAGATCGCGAAACAGTTGGTTTTCGAACTTAGATTGCAATATATAAATGTTTATTGAATAAAAAAAACCTCAGAAAACGACGTAAATCGACAAAAAATCCATCCTTATTATTATTTCAAAAATTATGGAGACCCAGAATGTTATAGGTAATAAAACTTCGTAATATGGGTCTAAAATAAGGAAAAACAACAAAAATTATTTTGGAAACTCGAAAAGGGTTTAAATAGAAAATAAAATCAAAAAGTAGATTTCGGATTCACCCTAAAATTATCTACAATTAAAAAAGAAGTATTCTTTATTTTTTTTTACGAATACGGCCCCAGAACAACAGTTCATAAACACTTTAAATATACTACATAGTTACTGGAATATTGACTGGATAATCAGGGATTATCGACTCAAAGTTTCAATCTCATAAAAAATATATATTTAAGTGGATATGGGGTCTATTATTCTGTAACAATTCCTTTATATTTTAATGGCCGTTAAAATATTGGCGGCCTTTAAAAATATTTTAGTATTCACTAACTTTCCTCTACTTCTGTCATTATTTAAACGAATTCCTTTAAAATAGTCCTCAAATAACAATAATTTTTAAAGGGATGTTAAAATTCGCCTTTAATTTTTTACGGTTTTTGAAATGAAAATTGAGGATTTGTATGGTTATGTTGTCAAACTAGTTCAAATAAATCTTAAATGTGATGTTCTCAAGTGTTCTCCTGCCATTTTTAAGGGAATCCGTTAAAAATGGCAGGAGAACATCTCAAACCCTACTCGTTCACCCACCCTTCCTCGATTCGTAACCGTACGAAACCGTTTGATGACGGTCGTGATGACGGTGAGAGCCCATTATTAAAACAGAGAGGAGAGACATTTTTACTTTCCTATCTGTATACAGATATAAGAAAAGTATATAGGAATCATGATTTTTGTGTGTGTCTGTGTGTCTTTATCCACCATAACTCATAAACCGATACACAGAAAAACACCAAATTTTAAACTTAAGCTTTGATCCAGCCTCCAATGAACTGATTAGATTTTGGGCAGAGTCGGAACATCTGGGGGGGTACTTTATAGGTGGTCATTTTTATATTTTATGGAATATATCTGTTATTTACGTTTGGGAAAGAAAATTCTTCAAATAAAAGTTACTTCTTATATTTTTGTTCTAAATTTTCCTAAAATGGTCCATATTCGAGAAATTTGACAAAATGTAAAAAAATATTTTGTTATAAAAAATATTCAAATAAAAGTTGTTTGTAATATAATTCTCTATAATTTTTATCATATACATAATTTCTCTAAAATGGACCGTTTTCGAAATATTTGAGAAAAAGTGTAAATTTCGAAATTTGAAGAAAACTCAAAAACGGATAAAGAAAAAAAACATTAAATTTTAAACTTAAGTTTTATTTCGGCCTGACGTGAAATGATTGGATTTTGGACAAAGTCGGAACATCTGGGGGGTACTTTATGGGAGGCCGTTTTTATATTTTATAGAATATATATATATCTGTTATTTATGTTTGGAGAAAAAAATTGTTCAAATAAAAGTTACTTCTAATATTATTATCTATAATTTTTGTTTTATGTCAAAATTTCCTGAAATGGTCCGTATTCGAAAAATTTGACAAAATGTGCAAAATTCTGATTTTTATGAAAATTGTTGAACTAAAAGTTGTTTATATCGATCTCTATAATTTTTGTTTATACCAGGGCTGGTATATCTAAGGGGGTCGCGACATAGGAGTCCATTTTGGACGCCATTTTTTTCGAAATAGTAGTCGCCATTGATCTGGCAACGTGGCAACTTGTAGTCGCCAGGTTCACCAATATAAGAAAAAAAATCAATGTCATTTTTTAAATGACATTTCCATTATAAAATGCCCATATTTTTTATGATAAAATATTTCAATTTAATAAATTATTAATCTCAGATGTACATAGAATACGTCGGGAAAAGTTAGATCACTTTCAATTTTGTGCTGTTTTGGTTTTGTTTATTTTAAAAGGTAATTGAAGAGATGAAGACAATTTTCTTATAGATGATGGATGCATAACAAATTATTGCTCCCTTTTTTAAAGCTCCAGTCCCTTAAGTCTATTTATTTTAGGTCTTTTTAAATTGTTGGTAGGTATTATTCACTTCATTTGTATGTTTTTAGTTAATTTAAATAATTTTGTGTAATATCTCGCGATTTGTTTCTATACATTTTAGCATGTATTTGTTGTCTACATCTCACAAAGGATGGCTTTGAAATACCTTTGCAACAGAGGTACTTTCCTAAAACTGGGCGAAATTTGAAACTGAATACAGTTCTTAGAGAAAATCTCCACTAAAAAATGTCTGCATGCAGAATAACAGTAGCATATATTAACAAAGCTGACAAAAGAGTTGGACAAACCTTTGTCTAATTTTTTTAATATTTCAGGACAATATTGTTCACAGCAGACTACAACAAAAACATCCAAAGTTTAGTAATCAAGCAAAATATTCCGGTATCTCCAGAATTATAAACGTATGAAAACTATAATAGAAAACATGTATGGTTTCAAATAGAAAATTATCAAAATTAGCATATCTAGTGAATATTGTATTTAAAGAATATATTTTTATTCAAAACTTTTGTGCTTCTACTCCAATACTAACCATATAGAAGCATATGCATTTTAAACTATTTGCAAGATTCGGATCAAATGTACCCACAATTTATAAAGATTATTAAACTAAAATAAAACATTTCAAATAACACCTGCTTTTATGTTAAATATGTTTTTATTAAATACACAAATTAGTCTCCACCACACATTTTTTTTTTTGTTTTTACTTCTAGTGTAAAAGTGACTACTAATTCAGTCTTTCAAGTTTATTATTTATAGAGACCAGCTACTACAAAATATCTTATTGATGATAACTAATTTCTCTTTAATAATGGTTTTGCATTTATTAACATTTTACAGCACTTTGTTTATATGAAACATCTATGTAACTCTTAATTAAATCACATTTAAATCAAGTAATTACATTTTCATATTCAACTTATGTATTCTTATTAGAACTTGGTCACTTTTTTTTACTTTGAATCTTTTGACTGTGGTAACAGTCCATTCACCAAACCACAAAGTCACTTAAAAATGTTGAAAGAGAATGTCATAAAGGTAAAATTCCTTCTTCTATCATGTTTTTCATGCAATTTTAGGTTGTAAACGTTTTGTACAACACCTTTTTTACAATTTATCCCAAGCAACACTATGAAAGATTTAAATCCTGGATTTACAGCATTCAGTTTCGAGATGAGTGCAGTCACAATGTAGTTTAAGATATAATTTTCACATGAACACTTATTTACCACAGCACAAACGCATGTACCTATTCATGTAACTTTAAAATAAAGTGGAAACAAATTGCATAATTTGGTATATAAAAAAGTACAAAATGTTTTTAGTTTTAATTCGACATTGAACTACGACTACGAGGAAAACAGTGGTTCATTCCACTTGTACCATATTGACATTATTATGCACGATGCTCGTTCAAACGAACATCAGAAAAGTGTTGCCAACTTAAGCTGACTACTATTTCCCCCCTAGCCTCAGTCACCCCCTCATCCATTTACTGGGTCTATGTCGCGACCCCCTTAGATATACCAGCCCTGGTTTATACATGATTTTTCTAAAATGGACCGTAATGGAAAAATTGTAGGAAAAGTGCTAAATTTAATTTTTTTGTATTTTCGTTTTCAATGAATATCTATAGAAAAATGTTTCGAGGTAGATGTATATGGAAAATGTATATATTTAGTGTATCCTCTAAACATTTATAGAGGTGCTGCAATAGGTTATAGGTTGTACAAAATAACCGGAAAAAGCCTATAATAACTAGATAGGAAAGTCATGTGTTGGACACATCAGATTTTTAATTAATAACAAAACGTGACATAATATAATATGGTTATTATCTCGATTATTAGGGTTCCCAACAGATTGCTAATGTGACTACATGGTGTGAATTGGCGATGGCATAGTGTATTGTATCTTGTATCGATCTAAGCATAGGTTATTAGAAAAGCACTGCTCCGAAAAATCGCTGCGGTTTTTTCGGAGCAGTCGCCAATCGCAATTTGATACTGCGACAGAAAAAGTTTCAACCCATCTCTAATTGCCACCACATTTGTTCATATGCCGCGTTTGAGAATCCACATCGGATGCATTTTTTACATCTCGAGCGTTTTTTTATCCACATCTGACACATATGTCCCATTACATTTACGTACACTGAATCACGTGATCAAAGATTTACTACATCTCAGATGCATCCGATGTGGATTCTCAAACGCAGCAATAAAAGGTCTGTGCATTTGTTACTTTATCATCATAATATATCATACCATTTCATTACAGATTAAAGTCTTTAAAGACACTAGCACTAGCAGCGCATATAAATAAAAACAAATTCCAGAATATCTCAAGGAAACTTTGAAATTTGAAATATGTTTTTCCAAGATAAGAATTAACTGTGAAACAGAACAGTAAGAGTATATAACAAATCTTCTATTTCGATGTCTTGCCTTTGTTGGGATACACACATTTCCCTGGTAACCATATATTCGACTTATATTAGCTTTTTATTATGAAATCTTAGAAAAAAAAAAAAAGAAGAGAAAAATTAACCACATATCTGTATGTAAAAAAAATTGTCAAAAATAAAAAAAATGGCAGGAACGTTATGGAATACATGTAGAAATATAAATAATAACATTAATACTTCCTTATTAATTTCTCTAAGACAAGGCCACCACTTAAGAGGAAAGCCGCCAGGTGTAGCCAAATCTTTAGAAACAAAATTAGCTAGTATGTAGTTATTTTTATACATTATCACTATCACTTATCACCTTTCAAAATTTTTAGAAGCAAATTTTAAAGATCCAGCTATATATTATAAAGTGGACATAGGCTTACCTCCTTCACAAATTTCCAAGTCAAAACTAAAGGAAGAACGACTGAAAGTTTTGAAAGAGCAAAGAAAAAGTCCAATACTAGAAAAATTAGCCAGAGAAAGAAAATGTAAGTATTAAAGTAATAAATTAAGTTAAAGATGAAGTTTGAGCCCTTCTGAAGTTGACGAAAAGCTATTAAGTTAAAGTGACCATCCGTCCCGATTTAGGCGGGACAGTCCCGATTTAGGCAGGACAGTCCAGATTTTAAAACACTAGTCCCGATTTAACATGTGTCCTGATTTTGTCCCGCTTTTGACCGATTAAAACAATTTTATCCTGCTTTCATCAGACTAAAAACTATTTTGTCCTGCTTTTAAGCCTTTATAATAGGTGTTTTAGCTCTTCAATAATATAAATATTAATAATACATGATCATTTGCATGTTCATATTTACATGTGCCTCTTATGGGCGAGATTTAGCCTAGGGCTACTCTTGCATCTAACCCTTTGACATATAAATAAATATATACACAACAATGAGATTATAATAAATTTGAATCCAAATTAAACAAACTAGAAAGTAAAAATATATGAAATGAACAAAAATCAAAATAGATAACAAAAATAAAAAAAAAACAAAAATAAATGCAAGTGACAGTGACTTTTTTTATTACATTATGCTGATTCAATAGTATCTCCTTTAATATTTTTTTAAATGATTTAAGAGTTTGCATATTTTTCAATGAACCCTCACTACTGCAAAAAATAGAATTTGTCGATGAAATATCTCCAAATCTCAATGTTTTTGATTTTTCCCACTTTCTACTTTTTAAAATATGGTAACTTTATATTAAGTACATGTTTACTGAACAATCAGGAACACTTACGTTACTATTGTAGTATTGTATGCAGTGGCTTAATTTTTTGAAGGGCTTAAAGCTTAAACTCAGTTTGTCCAACCTTAATTTTACATTCTTACAGTATCAATAAATTTAGAAGAAGTATATGAAGAATGGCTAAAAAGTACAGGCCCCAAAGATATAAAGAGAATTATTGAACATTATGGTATATTCGAACATTTATATGGAGATGCTTATTTTTATTCTAGAGTACCTTTAAAGGTATTTTACGAAAATAATGAGGGTAGTTCACCAGTTTACTTTGGAAATGTTATAAAACCATCTGAAGCAACTCAAAAACCCATTGTATCTTATGAGTGTGATAAAAATACACTTTGGGCTCTGACTTTGGTTAATCCAGATGGTCATCTAACAGAACAAACTAGTGAATACATTCACTGGTTTGTGTAAGTATACTATATTATTTTTCTTAACTTCAATTTAACAGATAGGGCAATTGGTACCTCAATGATAACATTTTTGTAAAATTTTCAGACAGGCCCTAATTTGACCATAAAAGATATTTTTAAAATGTGGCAGCTAATAACTATTACTTTTGATAAAATATATTTGACAACAAAAATATTTTATAAACGATCCTATATTATACTACCTATCATATTTTTTAACAAATAATATCTTTTATAGAACATCTTTGTCAAATATCTTTTATAGTTCAGTACCAGCTAGAATTGTGTAATAAACAAAAAGGACACTTAAAAATCTTGCCCTATTAAATAATCTGGTTGTGTAGGATTAAAACTTTTTTAGTAGGTGTTATCAAGAAATAATATATCAATTACTGCTGCCGGTACTATAAGATTATTTAGGACAAAATACATTAAAAAAAAACAAATAATAACTATCAATTGATTTATGATCTGCTGGAGTGCCACCCATCATCCCTAACTCGAATGACCACATTTATATTTCACCTATTAAAAAGAGCTTTGAAATTTATAACAATAATATTTTATAGAGGAAATATACCAGAAAATGATATAACAAAAGGAGAAACTTTAGTGGAATATCTGCAACCTTTTCCTCCAAAAGGAACTGGATATCAAAGATTGATCTTTGTTTTATATAAACAAGAAAAACAAATAGATTTTTCATCATTTAAACGTGATGGACTTTGGTAAGAATTTTTAGTCAAAGATAGGAAATATATAAAATAATGTTTTTTAGCCTAAATTTATCAGACAGAACATTTAGCACTTATGATTTTTATAAAAATCTTCAAGATCATATAACCCCGGCTAGTTTGGTTTTTTATCAATCAGATTGGGACAAATCTTTGAAGGATTTCTATCATAATATTTTAAGTAAGTGAGATTTAAATAATTTTATTATTTACATTTAAATTTAGAACTTTTTTCCTTTGATTATACCTACATGTTTGTATATTTTTAGATATGAAGGAACCCATATTTGAGTATGATTTTGCCCCACCCTATATAAAAAAACAAAAATGGTTTCCTATTAGAGAACCTTTCAATTTATATATGGACAAGTACAGGGATCCAAAACAAATTAATAAGGAATTTTTATTGAGGAAACTGCAAAATGTACATCCATTTAAAGGATCACCACCACCAATACCTTTCCCAAATGCAGTGTACTTTGAGGGGTATGTACCGTCTTGGCTCAAATTAGAAATTAGAAAATCTAGGCTTAAATGGGGCCGAATCAACGAAATTGAGAATCAATAATTTAGGATTGTAAATTTAATAAATATTAATGTAAGTACATACTTGTGTTTTATTTATAAAGACCGGACAATTTAATTTATTCTTATCAGCGAAGTAACGGTAAGAGCGGACCTTCGATTTGAATAATACATTCTGAATAAAACAAGTTATTTACTGAACTGGTCGACACAGTAGATAAGATATTGGATTTTTATCGCTCGGGCGTAACATTTGGGGCGGGCTTATTATTACATTTACATTGCAATAATTATTTTATTAAATTTTAGTTCAAATTTGGTTGGATATTATTATATAATTACAAATGATATTATTATTTATTTTTTTATTGTGTTGTGGGATAATGTTGTTGGCTTTTTCTGTTAATATATTATTGACTAATAAATATATCAACGAGGATACACCATCATTAGTTTTATGTTTAGAGTGTTCCAATATACACTCTTTATCCTAAAGTAGCAAATATACAATTATATACAATACAAATTAATATCAATCTTCTTCATTTGAAAAATATGTTTGTATGACTGCATATTTTTCTAAATTGTCTTCAGTGAAATTACTTCTTTTAGAAGTCAATAAATCTTTAAACCTAGAAAACGATCGTTCTACGTCACAACTCGTTACAGGAGCAAATGAAAAATGTGGAACAAAATCACAATATTTTAAAGCAGTTTCATAATCGTTAAAATTGTTCAGGGAGATTTGTTTCAGAGTCTGTAAATTTGGATTTCTTTTAATAACACAATCTATTTTATGGTTAAATTTATCTTGTAAGGGCCACTTTACGTTTTTTAAGTGTAACAATGTCGATTCAAATTTTTCCATAGCAACCGATAATTGTAAGTTACGGGTTTCAAGGAATTTTATAGTTTCTGGGAGACACGAAAAATAAGTCGCAAGAAAATTTAACTCCGACTGCAAAGTTGTTTTTGTTATTAAACCTTTACACTGAGTGATAGAGAGAGCGTCCTCTGATAAGTTGGAAATAAATACTTTTAGTCTGTCGAAATGCTCCGAAAAAAAGAACACAGCCTGTAACCAAGTTCCCCATCGTGTAATAACTGGTTGTGGAGGTAGGGGGATATTCGGACATATTTCTTTATATAAAGAAACTCGGGACGGTGCTTTTAACAAAATTTTTTTAAAACAGCTAATCAACGAATTAATGTCTGGAAAGCTGTCACGGATAAACTCACAAACTCGGTGTAACGCGTGAGCAAGGCAAGTTACATGCAGCATGTTTGGAAAATGTTCTTGTAATAGTTTCCCTGTTTTCAACATTACACTTGCCGCGTCTGAAATAAACAATAAAACTTTTGAAACGTCATTATCAATTACATTGTTCAATCCACGTTTCACTATTTCATAAATCATTTCAGCGTTCACAGTTTCACGAAACACACTAGAAACTAAATACTGTTGTGAAGTATTTTCAGCACTTAATAATCCTACAACAACATTAACAACACATCTACCCTTTATGTCAGTCGTTTCATCTGCACTAACCCAAATATATTTGCTGGAAATTTTCGTTTTTATTGCCGTCATTGCTTTATCGTACTGATTTTGAATATAATGTTTTCTAATTGTGGATTCATCCGGTATTTTACGTTTAGTATATTTACAAAGAAAATTTTTGAAAATTGTATTATTTAATTTTGTTAATGGAATATTTGCAGAAACAAATGCGTTGCATAAATCTTCATAAAAGATTTTGTCTGGACATCCCTCTAAAGATTGCATGTGTTTTTGTGTTTTCACATGTTGTGTCATACTTGACTTTCCATTAAAAACTAACACCTGATCACAATTGCGGCAGTATAATTTGTTGTCATTAAAACGACGAAAACAATCAAAGTCCGATAATAAATTTTCCATATTTACGTTTCCAGTTTCTATCACTTTTCCCTTTGAACTAAACAAATATACTCATTGGAAAAATCTAGTGATATTTTTACAAGACACTTTCTTCTCAAATCTCCTGTTTATCGACTCTTTGTTATCTTTTTACATTTTTTCAACCAACAGATACCTATATAGAGTGAGCAATTGAATTAATACATACATTACAGAAATTTAACAGACATTTATTTTATTGTCTCATCGTGTATAAGTACCATAATATCCACAGGAAATAAAAACATAAATGTTTTGTTACAAAAAATCGGTATGTACGGTATCGATAAAAGCCAAAATATTCATAAATATAATATAAGGATTGACTTTATTTGAATAAAAATATCACCGGCAACTAACCGACAATGGATCGAGAAAGTATAAGACAACATATGATGGGCCTATTTGACATTCATTTTAGGCCCTCTCTACAGCGTCTTAGTCCAAACGCTCGTAGAGTCCTAATATTTGGCCCCGATGCAATTTCTCCAACAATGAATCGGGACCAGCTAAGGCTAGAAATTTCCAATTTTCTGGAGGAAATAACAAATTCGGGGGAGGCAGCTGGGGTCCTCGATCCTCATTTTAGGCAGGAGAGTAGTGTACCACGCCAAAATATTGAGGAATAGATATTTTGTAATTATATAAGAGATAATAATAAAAAAAATATCATACAGAATATCGTTTACATTACTACACCTTAAACTCGCTTATGAAAAGTTTAACATCTTCATCAAAAAAGTTATTTTTTTTTAAGGAAAATTTCTCAGGCCACAAATTAAAGGATCTGAGGTTACTAAAAACTTTTGTAAAATATCCTACATATCCTCGGCGTTGGTGAGAAGAAAACATTAAATTTGTTTAATGAAAATGATTCAAAAGACAAAGAATATAGGTACACGATAAAAAAAATCTCACTTTTTTGTATTAGTTTTAATGTCTATGTATATATCAGTACACTTTTTTTATCTTGTTTTAATAAAAAAAAGAGGTTTGTCCTGATAGTATTAGAATCTGCCGCACTGTCTGCCGTCTTAAATAGCGAACCCAGAATGAGACGCCTATGTGATTAAAACCAATTATTTGAACGCGATTAAAATGTCCGGTCTTTATTTATTTAATATCCTTAAAAATATTTTACCATCTAAATGATAAGTAATGTTATTAAATTTCAACAACACATAGTTAATGCAGGGCATTTAAAATACTAATTATGGGAATTATTTAAGTAAAACAAAATAACTATTGTAACCGCCCACCCCCCGGCCGCTTCTTATTTAAAAGCGTGTATTTAATCACCTCCCTCCCCTTTGTGAAATTCAAAGTAATTCATACTTAGTATTAGTAGCATTGTATAAATATACAATGGTAGTAGTGATAGTCTAGTTAATTAATTTATAATGTTAATTAAGATAAACCAGGATTCGATGCAAAGTTTGGTACAAATTTGTAAATCAAAACTCGAATTATATCCTCAAATAAAATAGCGATACCATTACTTAAATTGGGGAATGAGAAATTGTGTTTCTCACCGAGACCTCACATGTGTCCTGCCCAAATAAACAGGCTACTTGCCATTATATATATATATATATATATATATATATATATATATATATATATATATATATATATATATATATATATATATATATATATATATATATATATATATATATATATATATATATATATATTGAAGAATTATTGAGGATATACAGCAGTACAGCAGACGTCCTCAGAATTGCACTATCTTTAATAATTCTTTGTTTTGTCGTTTCTTTTTTATATAGATTCGCTGAGATAAAGTTGTTGCAATAACAGACGAATATTTCTCATGTTTCAGCCTCACCTAGAGGGAGTTATGTTGTGTAGTCCTACTAGAATACAGCCGGATCCAATACAAGCGAACTACCTTTTATGTTCAGATCTACATACGGTACGAAAATTGAAAGATAATTATTTAAGATAGTCCAACCCTGCAGTGACATCAAGCATATTTGTGTAAGATGTGAGTCTAGCCCTCCGAAGTGTCATTTACCCCAATCAGCTGATATTTAGTAGCTATTAGCGAGGGTGCATTGGCACTTCGGTAGACCAAATTCCTAAATAGTTTTAGGCTGGTATAATAAAATTTCAAATACATACCGGGACCTGTCTATCTAGCGGTTCAAATATGATGTTTATGAACAATACATTTCTATATTAATGAATAATGAGTAATACAATAATAAACCTCTTTTAAATTATTGACTCACCATCTATTTCTGACGTTTTTATACTGTTGTTGATACGTGGAAGTGTTGCTGATTTGGAAATATTAAAGGGATCGAGACGTAGAGCATCGGGACGTTGAGCGTCGGAATGCCGAACGGCGGGACGCAGAACTTCGTATACCAGCGATGTATAAAGAGATTATGTCGGGACGTTGAGCGTCGAGAGGTGACAACGTTCGGGAGATAGTTCGTCGGGACGGATATAGGGTAGGAAACTCTTAGGTGGTGCGGTACGTGACTGCGTTGGGATGTTGAAAGGTAGGGAAGGACAGTCGGGATGAATATAAAGTAGGGAATACTTAGGTGGTGCGGGGCGTTACAGCGTTCAGGGGATAGGGGGTAATATAGGGTAGACGTCGGTAAGGAAGAGGGTCGATTTAGGAAAGGTAATGAATAGTGAACTTTAATTATACTAGATTTAAAAGTAATGGTTGGTTTAAAATCAACTGAATTTGATTTCTTAATAAATCCCTCGGGATCGGGCCTTTATACCCAAATTAATAAATTTTTGTGACGACAACTTATAACTCCGATGGGAATGAATTTGGGTGGATAGAAAAGGGATGGCCTTGAAAAATTTGTGTGTCGAAAACAACGTTACTATTCAAAACCGACTTAAGAAAAGTGCGTTGTTTCAATGATTATTACTTCGTGACAAAATTTATGTTATACGGTGGTTTCGGGTTGGGTTAAATGAAGGAGTTTGAATTTAATATGAATACAACTTTTCTTTAATAAAATGGAATTAATAAATTATGAAGGTACCCAGACAACACACCAAATCCCAGAGATATCCACAGAATATCTTTTGTGGATCTCCAATATATC